TACTATGCGTGTCAAATACTGTTGTTTTATAAAAAAATTCTTATCTAATAAAAAGATTATTATCCATGGGCTCTTAAATCATAATCCTATTTATCATATGTCAAAACATTATCATAAAAAAATATAGTATAATATGTGTGAAGTTGTATAAAATTATTTGATATCCATGATTTTAGGTAAATTTCATTGTTTGTACATGAATGATTTTTTAATGACACAATAATTGTTGATCAAACATCATGTAATTGTTACAATTGTAATGTAATGTATTAACTTACTAATATTTATACTTAATTTATTTTATTGTACATTTTTTCATTTTTTTCCAATTTTTATTATATACAAATTTTAAATAAATAATATATTATTTTAATTAAAATTTGGATTTATATGAAGCTCTTATCACAAAATTTTAGCAATAAATTTTTTCATGAAATTTAACTTAATAAATATAAATTATTTTAATCATTACATCATAGTATATGATACATTGATAAAATTTTTAAAAGTGATAAACAGATTGTTCAATGTGAGTTTCAATTTTTTCAACCGCTGTATCAACATATTTTTCTCATATTAAATTACATCTAAAAATTAATTTAGTATACACAATATCAATTTTTGCCATATATGATAAGAAATAATATATTGTAGTATTTTGTATGTAACTTTTGCTTTATTTTAAATGATTTTTTGAATGTGTCTAGAAGATACCTATTCAACATATCTATAGGTCAAGATCAGTATTCACATTGATATTGACATGTATTCAGAGAGTTGACATAGTAAATATTTGATTGATCTTTTGTGAACCTAATTTCAAGACAAAGAGAAAGTTACGTGGTGAAAAACACCTTGACTTATGTTATTTAGAGATACGAGTAGCTATTATATATAGTAATAGTCTAAATGGTCTAAGTAAGTTTGATAAACTATAACGTAATCAATTCCTTAGTTCACTCATAACAATATCATCAAGTGGAAAGTCAATACAAATAGAATCATTTTCTATCATTCAAAGTGGTTGTTTCTAGTTTTAATTTTTTTTCAAATTTTGGAATTTCACTTTCATCATATACATTTACTTCTCATCAATTTACATACAAAATTATTTTTCAATAATTCGATTTTCCAAACAAAAGTATAGTACAATGTTTATAAGTACCAGGATGATTAAATTACAACACGAAAGAAAGACTATACATGATGATGATTGAATAGTCATTTGTGGAATTTTTTCTTTCAATCATCATTATTTAAAGGAGATATCAATCTACTTTGTCTTTTATTTATGTAATTTTTGGTAGGTGACTTGTGAAATCTATATTTGTAAATAGGTATGAAAAAAAGTCAACTAAACTATGTACTATCCAAATTGACTGTGAACACAACACAAGTAAAGTACAGTAAGTACAAGTACAAAGTACAAGTAAATACAACACACTGAAACCTCAAACAAAATAGAGCTCTTGTGTTTGATTAAATTATGGGGAGTGTTAGTTATAACTCACTTAGAGATAATTAGCCCTCTATGATTAGTATGACACCCTACCCTGATTGCTACTCATGAGAATAACCTCTACTCTGCATCTACCCATTAGAGAAGAGAATGAGTAGAGTGAATGCTAATTAACCCTAAGCGGGTGATAACTAGCTCCCTAAATTGTAAGTAATAGTACTTTTCATAAGAGAATCAGATTGTAATAATCCTAACACAACATTGGAACAATGTTAGTTGAAACTTTGATGATAAAGGTTTGACTTAGATATTCGGGATAGGATACATTACATAATTTCGATTTAATGAAGAAATTTGGTTTACAGTATTTACGGATCCATCCATGTAAGGCTTTGACTTGCGGGCATATGTAATATATCACTTGGCGATCCATGATAAGTACAACGGACAGTATACACAATGAGCCACGCGATTAGTGTACATGGACAGTAATTCCTACTGTGGACCGCCACGTGTAGCGCAACCATACACCCAGATGGGAAAATATGAGACCTTGACCTGAAACAGCCGATGCCGTGGCTGGCAGTGCATGCATATGACTCACACGTATGCAGGTTAAACGCCCACGTGTCATGGTCTGAAGTGGTACAGGGCAATTGGAAGCTGTATTGCGGTTCGAGAGGATTTGGAGTGCTGGTACACGTGTTGGGGACGAAATCGACGATCGAGCAAAGGATCCCAGTTCGTGGACTTTCTCGCTGCTCAGCAAGGGTCATGACGAAATCCCACCCCATCGATAGGGCTTCTCCGCCTTTTTGCAGTCTACTTGGGCCCCCGCGCTATTGTATTATACTTCTGTGGCAAAATGTGCAATGTTTGCAACATGTTGATACGGGATGGACAGCCATGCTCGGCTTGACTTGACACGCAAATATCGTCGACGATCATGTCCTCATACGAGGCAAAGAGAATCCACCATTTCCACGTTTGACCGAACTATCTGTCGAAGGGGCTCAATTCTACCCTCTGCGCTTAGTTGTGACATGCTGATGCATGCAAAATACGCACCCAGCCGACGAGTATGGCAAAACGACATAATTGATGAGCGAGGACAGAAGTGCCGAGAAGCATTTAGGCAAAAGCTCGCACTGAAATGGAACTTGCGAAGTGAAGAAAATAGACGACTGCTGAGATTAGTCCAGGGAGTGGGTTCAGTCAGGTCTGGGAAATGCATGTTGAACAAGTACGGTCTGAATTTGCGTTTCTGTCTAACACCTGTTAACACCGACTTGGACTTGACCTCGAACCACGACTCGAGTTGAAGGTCCACCTGGCCCTCGTCATCATATACTCTCACGTTCCAGTACGAGGTGCTCTCTTGGCAAAATATTGTAGCTTGAAAAACCGACATCTCCAGTACGGGGATGAAAGACGTAGTCCACGAGGTCCGCATGGCGAGAGACACATGGGGGTAAGTATATGCTGCACCTGAAGTCTTAGTAGCATGACCTCTAACATATCATAGGGCCTTGTCCATGGTTTGTTCTATCCATTTTCGGAGACATATGATAGGCCCAAAAATATTGCGAATTCCGAAGTTGATGTATTTATGTGTTCGGATTGGTATTATTTCTGAGTGTTTGACCATGTAAACTAATTCTACTGCAAGCTTTGAAAAGCTTCGAAAATACAAGTGTGCAATATGTCAATATTATGTCATCTCCGTATGGATTTGCGAAACATGTAGGTCATCACAGTGAGTGTGATAGGCAGAACTGAATTTCTATATGTGTATTTATTGTTGAGGATGGAGTTAGCCGATGTCACAATAAGAATCAGACTTGACCTTCTTATCGTTCATGTTGGCTGACACTCAACACTTGCAGAGTTAGTGTGGGGTCCCTCTTTTCCAGTTCTAGTTTAAAATTACTCTCTCCTATGTATATTTCTTATTTTTGAAGAAGGAGTACTCAATAGAGAGTCAATTGCATATAACATGGGAGGATAAAAAGGTTTCAGCTAGGTTATGCTGAAGTTAGGTCAAGAAAATATCGTAAGTACCTTACATGCTGAACCTTACAGGGACGAAAGGTACAATCTATATCTCTTAAAAAATGCATGACCTTGAGTGTTTGCTTGAATAAACCTTTTTCTTTCAAGCATATCAGACAGCCATAAACTTAGGAGCAGCTATCACTTGCAGCCAGCTCAAAACAGAAAACAAAACTTCAGAGATATAGTTTCAGCTTATTAACTCAAATATAGTGTAGTCTAGTCGTGTTACCAACATTTTCTCCTAGGAAGATCCAGATTCGTTTCCAACAGAAACTCAAGCTATTCTGGGGAAGTTGATAAGAATATAACATACAAACTGGACATAGATTTGCATGGGGTTTGTTTAACCTTTGCCAAAAAAGTTCTCGGATCCTTAAATTTTGGTATTTGGATCTTCGTTGAAACACAAGAATATCTTGGATTCATTTGGAAAGAGTCAAGGTATGCAGTGCCCTAACAACGTACATTTTCAATATTTATTTGTATGTTTAATGTAGTGTTATGCACCTCGATGTATAACGATGAATAATTATGCAACCCATTGAAAGATATCCAGCGAGATACTCATCGTGAGAGTACAGACAAGATAATCAAATGGCGTTGACAAACCCAAATACTTATTGTTTCTAATGATGTCACTTGACTAGATTGAGGTTTGTCAACGAATAAAAAACTCAGCTCGGTCCCATGGGGATGAAGAACTTCCTCCAATAACAATGACAAGAATAATATGGAAAAACCACCTGTATGAACGAGTTTATCACCTCACTCTCTAGTGCGTCGCTCATGGGAAGATAATTCAGCCCAAACGAGATGCCAACTTCCTAAGGAAGCAAGCGAAGTTGTTAACTGGCCTCCTGCCCATCAGCTATTGTTCATCATGCTCCTCATGGCCTAGACAGATGTATCATCGTCTCCTCGAGGACACGTGGCCACACTCTTCAGGGCGTCCGTCACTTGCCTTTCCGAGAAAATATGGTGGCATCTTGGAGTCTCGGATACACTTAAAACAGATATTCTCGAAATCCTCTCACTTCAAGGGACCGTCATTTAGTAGCGGAAGATTAGAGGGCGGGAGATCCGAAAAGAAGACAATTGTCGTAGTGGAGTACGGGCAGTAGACTCCATCCTCTCCGCATTTCGAGTATCGACTGAAGAAATAATGCAAAGCTTGTACTGCCGGGCACCGGGGATGGAGATTCCCGAATCTAGGGGACGACGAGCGAAGCCCTGCTCGTACTGTACTGTAATGGAGGCATCGGAATCCCACGTGGACGTTGTCCGCGCGGGATGGTCTTTGAAAAGCCGGCAGCCACGTCCGACGTGAAAAAGGCCCAGGCTAGAACTGTCCGATTTGAGCGAACGGGGCTCTACCAGCTGGCGCTATCTGAATGGTCCTCGTCACCATTGCGGGCTCAGAATACGCGCGGGCGGAGATCAAAGAAAGCTTGCCCCGAGGGGGAACGTCTGCGGAATCGGAGCAGAGGCTCGAGAGCTGAGCCAAGAAAAGAAGCCTCGAGGAACGAAGGAAAGAGGGAAGGAAGGAAGGAAGGCTCTGGGAAGGAAAGAAAGCGAAGCCCAGCCCAGCCCTGCCAGCCAGCCAGCCAGCAACGCGAGCGAGAGCAAGAGCAAGAGCTCGAGCTGCAGCAGCTGCATCGCCGATGCTGCCAGCCATGCGTCAGGCCTTTAGATACAGACGCATGTACTGTCGTCGGATAATGTGAAAGTCCTCAAGGGCTGGTGCACCTCCACTTGAGCTGCGTTTTTTCACGAGATTTCGGTTGGATGATTTGCCTGCCTCCCTCCCCTTCTAATTCACCCTGTCTCGAACCCAATGAACCTGAGTGTCCATCCTGTACAGAAGAAGAAGAGCCCAAGTTCCCAGCTGCGGAAGCGGCGTGACATGATAGTGTGAACCCCTACACTGCCTGTGCAAGAATATTCGTGGCCCATGCTGCTGTGTGAACCAGGAATTGACAAGTGTTAGAAGCTTTGGATGATTCTTGACTGTGATGGGTTAGTGGTAATTGAATTCCAGATGAACTGACACTGAGGAGCTCTGAGAAGCCGAGAACACGAGCGAGGAGAGGATTCACGCGAGTGTACAATTTTGTAGGAATTTGAGGATTACTTGAATTTTCGAGCTCAGAGTGGCAGGATTTTGAAACAGAGGAAGACATGCAACAAGCTGCTGGAATGCTTTCATTTCGAGAAGTCTGCAGTCCGAAGGGGCTGTAGGATGACTTGCTTGCTGGATCCATAGTTTATGGTCGTGGACAAGAATCGGCTGTGGATGGATCTGAATAGTGACGGATCGGAGAGGAATTGAGGGGATTGAACAACTGGAGAACAAGACAGATTAGAAATCTGAGGGAAATTTGCGGGGAGCCATGGTTTTCGAGGAGCATGTGGCCTATTACCTGGAAAGGTACCTTGGCAATTACGTCAAGGGCCTTTCCAAAGAAGCTTTGAAGATCAGTGTCTGGCAAGGTAATATTCAATGGTCTCGAGTTCTGGTTTCTTTTTAGTAATTTAAGAGTTGATATTTATTCGTCACCTTGATTGAAAATTCTGGGTATCAGTTGAAAACAATCCATCCTCGTTCAAAAGCCGCGAGTTGACAGTCAGTGAAATACGATGGGCATTTATAAGCAGTAAGCATTCGGGTGAATCGTTATAGCAAGATACTCGTAAACCTTGATCCGTGGCTGGAGTCGACTGGATGCTGGAGAGAAGCTAAATTCGACGATTTAGCACAGTAAATTTCTTTCAGCTCGATTGATGTACTTCAGACCAGCTGGTCTAGTCATATCTTCGTTGCACTTATTCGAGGAGCCCTCGTGGTAAAAGTTCTCAAAATTGCAGTCACCCCCCATCAGAATGAACAGCACTGAATTTTTTTATGCTCCAAGTCAGGAGAAAATGAAAGTTTTATAAATTGATGATTTGAGTTTGTTGGGCAGTGAGGCTGCTTTATTGACGTTAAGCAGTAAATAAGAAAGGGACATACGGGCGAAGCTTTGAGATTTGCAGTGCTTGCATCAGATTAGATTAACTAGTCCAAGAAGGAGTATGAATGAGCTAGGCTGCTGATTTTGAGTAAGGACCACATTTTCAGCTAGATAGTTTCTAACGAAGGAGTCGCTCGCGAATTGGAACGCCGGTGTAAATTTTCATACAAGCAGGATATTTTTTTTTACGGAATGGATCGTACATCAACATCTATGCTCCGGTAGATTGCCTTCCACATTGGTGAAGTCTCCTACCAGAAGGATAAGCTGAAATTCACTTAAGTTTCTCAATATGGCACACTTCTGTGACTTAAAGGCTCGGAACAGATAAATGAAACGGACATAAGCATATATTTAATATAGAGTGAGCAAACTGTACTCTCGTTTACGGTGAAGAGTCTGGATGTCACAGAACCAAGGCCTTTGTAATTATAAGATTCTCGGCTGGACCCGTATTTTGATGATGACTTGCTCGATCACAGTCCCGCAAGTCATTTTCAAAATGCAGATTTCCATCGAAGTAGGTCTGTTTAATCTGGACATACGCCTACGCTCGGCCAGCAAACTTATGATATTAGAATTGTGGCTCTAATGTGGCTTGATTGAATTGTCTGATTTAAGGCAGTAACAAATTTGTCCATTGTTCCTAAGAAATTTCTGCTGAAATTTTGTCTTAGATTTGACAACCTTCCATCAAAATCAGAGACCTCATGAGTTTTGAGTGCCGTGCAGTGTGTAGTCTTTTTGTCGTGTTCATTCTGAGTATAGGAATTTAATTGTCATTTCAATAGCTTTTTTCTCCATTTTGAGCATGACGGAATATGTGGTTTGCGTTGGTTCTTTCGGCAGGAAATGTGGAGCTGACGAATATGCAGTTGAAGCCAGAAGCACTTAATTCTTTGAAGCTGCCAATCAAAGTAAAGGCAGGGTTCTTGGGATCTGTCAAATTAAAGGTGGTTATCGTACACCGTCTGTTTACTATCGTACATTCAGCTACTGTAGTAAATATCTGTAGTATCGCGTCATAAGGCACACAAATGCAGGTGTCTTTGAATATTCAATTTGAAAACTATCTAAAAACAACAGAAGCCCTTTAATCGTGCTCTCACGCCCGTGGGTTTGCCCGTCTTAGCGAAGTTGTTCAGAACCGACCTTTTATGATTAAAGTCTTCTATAAATATGAGTTTTTTGTTAAACGTCTATGCAGTGCAGTCGATCTTAGGCACTATTGTTCAGCAAATTAGCAATCCTGGCTTGTGACTCCCATTATTGTGCGTCAGTTGGAGTCCACATGAATGTTGAGATCTCTGTCTGCATCATGATTGTATATTCTCAACATCCAACTGCACGTTACCATCGTGAATGTATCAAGCCGAAATCTGTTCTTACAACAAAAAGGTTTTTTGCTCTTTTTGTTTGTCTGTATGTACAGGTTCCGTGGAGCCGATTGGGTCAAGAGCCAGTTGTTGTGCTTCTAGACAGGATATATCTCTTAGCAGAACCTGCCACCAACCTTGATGCAGGAGATGATTCTGGGGATGCTGTCCAGGAAGCCAAGATGAAGCGTGTGAAGGTACACGCTTAATTATTCACTCAACTCAATACGAAGTTACATTGCAATTGTCAATTCTTTTGGGGTAACGGATTCGCCTTTTATGCAAGCTAATTTAATTCCGAGAACGTAACTATATGGTCGGAGGTTTGGGCAGTTGCCATATTAACTACATATATTGTTACTTCCGGAGCACTTCTGTAACCATCACACTTACCTTGTATGTGTTCGATCACCACAGGATACAGAAGCAAAATTACTTGAAAGGAAGGCTGACAACGCGAAGAAAGAAGAATTGGTAACTGATGAATTTAATGTTCCCCTTCCGCATTTGTTCTTTTCATGCTTCAGTAGGTTTTCTAATTTGTGGAAAAGCTGTGGAATGTTGATCTTTTTTCTAGAAGAGCCTTCTTATAAGGTTAGGATATGCAGCGATTTCAGGGTTTCTTCTTTGTTTTCAATAGGACTTCTTTTTGTTTCATTCTTGATAGTCATCTGTTTCACAGAACCGTTGACGTCTTCCGGCAGTCTTGGTGCTGAATGCATGAAACTTTCATCTGTTGACAACAGAACTTGCTTTCAATACACCAATTAGTCTGTATTATTCTGCTTATTATCTTAAGAAGAAAGCTGTTCGTTGCAACTGCGTGTGATGGTAGTGCTAATGAAAGTATTTACCTCGCTCTTTCCACAGAATAATACTTCTTGGTTAGGCTCCTTGATCAGCACAATTATCGGAAATCTGAAACTTTCGATTACCAACATTCACATCAGATATGAAGATTGTGAGAGGTACTTCAGTAGTTCAGGAATTAAATGTTATGTTGCTTGAATACATCTGGAGCATATTTCAGCACCTAGAGCTCGTAAATCTTTTTCTCCTTTCAAATCTTTATATATACTATCGAATATTGTGAATTCTACCCTCATTCCTGGCCTTCAGAGGTTCCTCAAAGACTTCCGGAAAGTAATTGTAAGCAGACCATGACAGGACGATTCAATAGAGGATGTTAGGGTATATTTCGGCATAGAAGATATGCTTAGTAGACGTCCTTTTTTGACATGAGCACGGCCCCCCTGTACTTCTGTGCCAGCAATCCAGGACATCCGTTCGCTGCTGGTCTGACTTTGGAAAAGCTCGCCGCTGTGACTGTTGACGGCGAAGGGAAAGAAACGTTTATTACTGGTGGATCTTTGGATCGCATACAAAAGGTTTGTATAGATGTCTCAAGCGTTTCCTCATTTAGAGAACCCTGTTCCCCAATTTTTGACCGAAAGGTCCTTGCACCTTTCAAGCTTTTAGGAGATGATGGATGTGCTTTTTCTTTCTCGCAAAAGTGCTTTGATGGATTGTACATCATCGATAAAGAGTTAACAACATGCGCTTTTATTTTACAGTCTGGAGAATTGCAGCGGCTTTCGTTTTACTTCGATCCCGACACCGAACCTTGGAAGCCCGAAAAGAAATGGGAAGATCTATTGCCCAAAGAGTGGGCGAAGGTGCTGAAGAGCTAGCTCTTTCTTTCCTCTTAAGCTGTTTGGATATGATGCATGACTGTGGTAAACCTTCTCTGAGTTGAAGCTGCGAGCTATTAAGAACAAGATGTATCGGAACTTTGGATATCTTGTGTAGCTTTGTTCACAAATGTCTATTGAGTTGCACAGTTTCCGACTTGTTCAGCTCCCCTGGTTGTAGTTCTTAGCTTTCCGAACCGATAAAGGTCCTGAAGAAAACTGTATGTAGCTGTATGGACCAGAAGAGTTAAGCTTTTGTAAGTATTCATAGAAGCGTCTGGCCAGGTTTTCTTGGGGATGCTCTTATCGTGTCAAACTTGTGTACCTATGTGTGTGTACTTACATTCTTTCAGATCTTTGGTCAAGGAATTGGCGCGGAGTCAGTACATGGTGATGGAATTAAAGGAAGTCGACGTGGTCAACATCACTATCTGCTCGCACCTGTCGGGGGAACTGCGAGATATAGTAAACTTGCAAACAAGGATACAAGAACTCCTGATCAACCTGCACAAAAAGCTATTGTCGTGCTGGACGACGTCACAATTGGTTTGTCAGAGGTACAAGTTTGATGTAAACCTTCCTTTGCCTGATCACTCACCTCAATCTCTTAAAAAAATGAACGAGGTGATGCTTAACTGATGAATGACTGAGTTTGAATTTAACGCATAATTTTAAGTGTACGATTTCGCGAAACTGTCAATTGTCTAAGTTGTGAGTTAATGAGCCTCAGTACAAAGAAGTCCTCAAAGACTGATATAGCGTAACCTTTTTTACAATGGTGATGGCCTGGAGCTCCTCCATTGTCATGGTTCTTGAAATTATCAATGTGAGTAGATTTCGAGCACGAAGACGGATTACATGTCCCAAATATCAAACGATTCAACACAGCTCAGGGTCATATGAATTTATACAGTTAACAGAATCATTTAGCAGGTTTTCTTGTCTACTTTATCTTACTTCACCTTGCATTGTGTTTTTGTTGCCTCCCCCTAATTTAGACTAAACTTTGGTGTACGCGAGCAGGTACAATATCGAGATGCCTTAAAGGTGGCTGAGAATTTTTCGACATTTAACAAACGCCTGCAATACGCACATTACAGACCCTCTGTCCCCATCAAACAGGACAGTAGGGGTTGGTGGCAGTATGCTTACAAGGCTATAGTAGAGCAGCAGAAACAAGCAAGGTTGCTACCGCTTTTTATCTCCTCTTCTATCATCTGTCATCTCATCTTCTATCTATCTACACGCGAAATCAATAAATGAATGAATCAATTTAATTTCCATAGGGTCAAAAAGCGACCAAGGGACCACCATCTTACTCAAAATATTAGACAGTCTTGATGTCAGTTGTAGCAGATCTTTGTGAGTAGTATTGATTGTAGTGCAAGTATTTGTGACGATTGTGAAGCTCGTAGTTGTGCGTCCTTATTCCTGCACTCAACGCTCGATTCTCGCTTCCCTGTATTTCTTCTGCTTGTTGCAGTGGTAATATATCTTGGAAGCGACTAGTCAAACTTTCCGAGCTGAGAAAGCAGTATGTTTCAAAGTACGTGATGGCGCTGCAGTCCAACCCGAGTCAAATGACAATCGATAACAACAAGGAAATCCAAGATATGGATCGTGAGCTTGACACTGATATAATTATACAGTGGAGGTAGATTCTCTTTCCCTTCGTACAATATAGAAGTACAGAATGCACACATCGTCAACATATAATTACTATTTTTACTGTGCAAGTTGCACATATATTAGGAGCGTTAGATCAACCTGAAGGTGTTGTCTGGGCAGAGAACTGGCGTTATATATGTCACTCAAAAGTGCATTAACTTTCTGTCCAGTAGATTTTGTCAATAGATCGTAACAGCTTGAAGTGGACAGGAACGCCGATTTAGTGCTTTGTTGTCTCATTTCTTGGTCATTTGATGTTTCCCTCAGGGAATGATTCTTGGTTCCTCTGCCCTCTACTTTTGTGTCCCGCGGGCTTTGCTGGGTTCCAGTGGACTTATAATAAATTCATGTAATCATCCTCAGCTAGAAGGTAGATACTCGAAGATTCAGTTGTAAGTTAGACAAATCGTCCAATCAGTGTATTTTGATTATGCAGAATGTTGGCACACACATATGTCGATCAGAATCGAGCTCAAGATCAAAAGCGGCAGCAGGAGCAACAGAAACAGCAGAGCTGGTGGTTGCCTTTTGGATGGTGAGTCAAATGGTTTTCATGTTCAGAGCGAGAGTTACACCCTTTGAAGCACCTACACCAACGTTTGAGAATAAGCTTGTACAATATCATTATGAGGCAATGTTCAAGAAAGTCATGCTTTTTTGTTTGAATGATTTTTATCGGCAGGGCTGGCCAATCAAACGTTGATGACAAGGCCGTCAAGTTTACCGACGAGGAGTGGGATCAGTTGAATCAACTGATTGGCTATCAACATGGGAAACAGTCAAATATCATGCCAGGGCAGGAACCTCCCAATATGCTGCACACCGTTCTAGAAGTTCGCATGCGCCGCAATGCAACAAAATTGGTGGCTTCAAATGATGAAGTCATCATGGAGTTATCGGGTGATGAACTCCAGGTCAATTTACATATGTACCCAAAGACGGTGAAATTTGACATGGAGCTGGCTTCATATCAACTGTCATGTCCGGAGGGTCTCCTCATGGAGGTCAGTTGCAATGACACTAAGTGAAGATTAGTTGTTTAAGTTGAAAGGTTTCAAAGTATGACTGTTGACCTTCGCTTGTCCTTCAGATTTAGACTGTTTTAGCTCCTTCATGCGTGTGTTATGTGTAAGATCAGTATTACTTCAGTCCTTTCCGATCAGATGGGTACGGTGCCATGCGACAGCAGATTTATGTGCTGCCGGTACATTTCACCTATTTGGTCTTGCTCTCTCTCATGTGATAACTTTAAACGTGTAGGTTTTGACAAAGCATGGTTTTAATCTTGCATAGATTCTTGTACGCATGTTAAGATATCATATCTTTTCTTACTGTATGCAGAGTGCCACGAAAGCGGAGGCAGTCAATGCCACATTCATCTATTTACCGATGAAAGAAAATCTTGACTGGAGTCTGGCTGCAAAATGTTCACCATGTTACGTTACCGTGAGTTTTCAGTTTTACCATCGCTTTAGTTTCTTGTAGATCTCATCTTGTAATCAGCCCGGAAAGTTCTCTACTGTACTGTCTGTTTGGCAGGATTTCTCATAGTTGAGCTGCTTTTCCGTCTAAGGTATTCGAGATTGCAATCTTGTAATCTGTGATGAGTCTTATTACTGCTTACTGTACTTTATTCTGTAGATTGCTACGTGTTTGATATTCATTTCCTTTGATGAAGGCTCGACCTCACATTTTAGTCCGAGGATTCGTATATGATGCGAGGGTACCGCTTATAAACGGGATGATGTTTTTTTACAGCCTCTATTTACATTTGAACTGTCAACTGCCTGTGCAAATGACAGGTGTTCATGCCAAGCATCAATAGATTGATCGCCTTTTTCCAAACCAGTCGAACTGTAAGCAGGAGTGTTGCCTTGGAGACCGCCACAGCATTACAGGTTGGATAAGCTACAGTTCTTTCGGTACACCTCTGATAGTACACGGGAGTTTCTTGAATTGCAAAACTTCTTTTGTACAAATATACTGAACGTTTGATGTGTTGGATGCAGTCAACCTTAGACGAAGTAACTCGCAACGCTCAGCAGCAGATAAACAAAGCCTTGAAAGATCGTCCACGGTATGAGTTGAAATGGATTGCCCTCGCCCATCACATGATGAAATGCTAGTTTTATGAAGGTTTCGCATCATTGCATGTGCTAAAATTAATTGATAAACTTAACCAGATCGGTGTACCTTTCAGATTTAAGATGGATCTTGATATTGCAGCACCGAAGGTCACGATCCCAACCGACTTTTACCCTGACGGTGTTAAACAAAGCAAGCTTCTTCTTGATTTCGGCCACTTCAACTTAAAGAGTGATCTGGTAAGGGGTGCAGCGTTTGCTCTGCTTGTCTTAGAATTATTATTTTTCATTCTGAAGAGACTAGATTTCATCGATCCGTTTTTTATGGATCAGTTAGTTATGGAAGGAATTTGATGATGACACAATTCTTTATCCCTTGTGTTGAAGGACGACGATCCACATGAGTCGGCAGAAGAAAACAGACTGTACATGCGTTTCAGGATAAGGTTGACCGATGTATCTGCTATCTTAGTTGATGGAGACTACGATTGGAAACGGAATTTTGATGATTTTCACCAAGCCTTTAAAGAGGACAAGAGGGATACCAGAAGAGCAACGTTTCTGCCATTGTTGGAAAAGTGTGGTATGCTGGTTGCATTGCAACAGGTGAGTACATTTGTACTCCGCGACATAGGTTTCACTGACGGTCCAGAAGAAGATGTTCTCTTCTAAAGAATGTCTTCTAAAATCTTGACTTACAAGAAGAAGTTCATTTTCTATGCTGGTGAATGTTCGTGATGTGTTAAAAACTTTTATTTACAACAGGATAATAGCTATAGAACTGCTTTTTCCTACCCTCGTAAGTGCAACCACGAGTAAATCGGACGGTAGTGTTATCTAATGATCCTATCACGTACGTGCAGATATGCGTTCCTCATCCTCAATATCCGTCGACGAGAGTTGCCGTGAGGTTACCTTCCCTTGGGTTCCAGTTTTCTCCTGCACGTTATCACCGCCTTATGCAAGTTATGAAGGTGTTTCAGAACAGCTCTTCAGATGATGGTGAAAGTTCTTCAGTCCATCCATGGGAGCCATCTGACTTTGAGGGACAAGTTTCAGTGCTGGCGTGGAAGGTACGAATCATGTGCTTACTGTATCTTTATTAGCTGCGTGGATTGTTTATCGTTTATGAACCTTTGTTCTGTTTGGTTTAGTTCCCGTGCTTCGGCGCTTATGTAAGATCTTGGCTTTGCTGAATCGCTGGAATAGCTCCTTCTATTTTAGAGTCAATGAGGGATCGTTTTCCACTTTAGATTCTCATTTGGAAGTGAATTGTAGAATATAAGGAGAAATTGTAGTAGAATCCTGCTTGTAATGACGGACAAACTCTTGATCGCTTTTAATGATTGTCACGAGCGCAGGGTGTTGGGCATCGTGAAGCTGTATGGCAACACAGATATGCAGCATTAGCAGGTCCCTTTCTCTATCTTCTGGAGTCTTCGTCCTCCCAGACTTATAAATACTGCTCCAGGTGAGAGTTCACAGCTTTTCGTGCCAGTATAACCTGATCTTCAGTTGGACATTTCTCTTTACCGAGGAAGTATTAACTTCGTGGAGTATGGTAGGTCCCTGTAAGCTGTAACCGGACCTTATTGTTAGGATTCCGTTGTGTGACAATGCCAAACTGTTTCACATTGACGACTAGTAGTTATCTATGGTTGATGCGTAAGTAGTACCCATGGTCTGAAATGGTGCTTTAAGTCCTGTAGAACGAAGACGCGTAGAAGTGGAAGCTTCAGTAATTACTGAACGTTAATCTGTGAATGAACCAATTCAAACAGGTTTGAAAGCAGTGGATAACTTGTTTTGTTGTTAGTGGTCAATGAGAACTAGGTGACGGATAAATTGGAGAGGCCACTAAAGCCATTGACACCATATTGAACCATAATCAATTCAACGCACAGGGCACCTCTGATGAAGTGTTTAGCCTGCCTAACCCGAAAATAATTTAAACATTGGCTCTTTGTTTTGGAAGTCCCCGGAGTTTCACAGGCACATGTCGGATGATAATTTCTTGACTTTAATAGACTAAACATATTAGAAGATCAAGATGTTCTATCAAGTCCGGTCGGTGAATTGACCCCAATTTCAAGTTTGAGCTCTCAGCGGAAACACTGTAATTGATATTTATGTTCACAATTACTGCTAACATCTGTGTTGGCTTCAAATACTATCTATGAGCCTGCAGAAGGGTGCTTCTGAAGGATATTGTATGTGATTCGTAGATGTGTTTTGAAGTTTGAGTGTTCACGTGTGATGTCGTGTGCAGTTTAATTGGAAAGCAAGCCTCCGTTGTCCCCCCCGATTCTATCGGAGATGTGCCATATGTGCTTGCTGTTTGTGATGCTGGCCAATTCAACAATAAGGTGTGTTTAACGGCTTTATCAAGGGCCCTCAATAGAGGATGTAGTTGACAACTTTGTTGCTCTTTAACACTGGTAATGAATTACACAGTCTCCGTAGTTGGTTTTTCGTGGTTTGTGGAATCTACTTTTTAGAAGGCAACGAAGGTCGATTTGATTACTATTGTATGCTATACTATTTGATTACTAATCAGTGTTCAGACGAGGACTTGGCAGTCTATCTGAGTTCATTCCCGGTTGAAATCCTCACCAGGGACGCAGACTTGAACCAGTTGAAGCTACGATAGAGTATTTTAATAATATCTTCTTCGTGTCTATGTACGATAGGTTGCGGAGTCTGTAAATGCCTTGCTCTTGCGTTTTGAAGATGAGTCGACCATGAACAATTGGCAAGGGCGAATCACAGGAGCAATTTATCGAGCATCGGTAAGTCCCGATGAGGAAGTTTGACTAGCGCACTAATTGAGTTTCTTCATTTGTCGGACTCACTTTGAAGTTCGTGAGAGGTACAGTTACCTCCGAAGTGTTTCTGATATGTTTCGTGGATGACAATGGTCCGATAAACCTGCTGATATGATTGGTATTGACCTCAGCCCAGTACTTTCTGTGTTTTTCCGCAGGCACCTGTAGCTGTTGCTGGATTGGTTGGATCCAAGGAACATGATGATGCCAAAGATGCGGTTGTTGAGGCGTCTGAAGCAAATGAGCAATTGAACCCAGCCGAACAAGAAAGTTTTTTCTTGACCGGAGCACTTGATGAGCTGAAGATCATCATTAGCAATAGCCAAGTTGTAAGAAAGGCTTAAACCGTTGATCTTTTAGTGAACAATACAAATGGAAACTTTGTCTAAGTTATGGTTACCTGCATTGCTCACGAAAAAACCTCTCGTACGATTTCATGAATACTTCCGTTTCTTCTCAGCAAGATCTGTGTATAAGCTCATACCTCGATGGCATATTGTTTCAATCAAAGAGGGGCCTGATCAGTACTTAGCGGTTATAACCAAGAATAATGGTTGGACTGCCTCAGATTTTGCTTAGATTTGATAGACGATACTCTAACGCGTGCCGTCATGATCTCATATGTTCCTCTATTTGAGCTTTCGCTTGTCCTTAAGCAGATGAGTCTTGCTTCAATAACTAAATGTATGCCCTTGTTATTGTGCAGGATGATTATAATTCACCACAACTGCTTCTTGGATCTGAAATACCACTCTTAGAGTTTCGTGCCATAGGGACTAAGGTATAACATTCCTCCCTTGTTCTCTTCTTGTCAAGTCTAAATATGTTCTTTGCCTCGATTATCTTTGTCCTGTTGTAGCGGAGATGCTTGGTTACATTTTTGTCTAGAGGGTACAAGGCGATTGAATGAGCCGTGTGCTTGTTTGTTACTTTAACCTCACGTTTGAAAGTTTTAGCTTTGCACACTCATGCAGACTAACCTTCTGTAGCAATGCATCAGTTTTTTTTCTTTTTGCCGTGCCTTCATTTGGTTTCCTACTTTAATTGCATAGAAGCTAAGACTAATTTTTAATGTGTTTACGTCGTAGGTGGAATATGTTATGAGGACGTATGATATGTCAGTCGGAGCAGTTCTACAGGCTTTAGAAGTCGAGGATAAGTTCCATGGGCATGTTTCTCCATCTTGTAAGTATCTGGCTCGCTCCTACATCAAGACAGCCCATAAAATTACAGGAGTCCCGCCTTTGAGTAACGGGAGAAATGGTCATGGAAAGCACCACAGACACAGACCATCAAACGGAAAGAAAAGCCCCAAACGCCGGCAGACCAGTGAAAGTGACAGGTTCTTTGATGCGCCCGAAGAGTTCTTGGATGCCGAAGAGCAGTCCAAAGGTCACAGGCTTAGACGATCATCTGACTCTCTGTCCAAATTCTTTGATGCTGAGGAGGATGGGAATAGTCAGAGTGGAGACGATCGAGAGCCTCCAAGCTTCAAGCGTGATTCTGGGCTTCTTCCTCTTACCGGTCTTAAAGAGAACGGTGAAGACGTTTTAAAAGAGGGAGCGGAGAATTTTGTCAAAGCACAAGTGATTATGTGCTCTCAAGACTCACCAGATTATGGGAATGTTGATAAGCAGGTGAGATAATATGCATATGACAGCTATTTCAGGTCATGATTACTATAAAAAGATAGTCCAAACTCTAATTCCTAGCGCCGCACATGCTGCCCTTAAACAAAGTTATTATTGTTAAGGAAGTTTTTATCGTGCTGATCGTTGTGGCCATGTTTGATCCAGGTCAAAGTGACGTTGGCAACTCTTTCATTTTTTGCAAACCGGCCAACACTTCTTGCCTTGCTCGATCTTGTGACAGCAATTAACGCCGACGTTGAACCTAAAGATCCAAATCCAGCTCCTTCCTCTACTGAGTCTGATGCTATTGTCAGTACCATCAATCCGAGGGGCATAGACGAGGAAGAAAACGAAATACAAACACCTTTTGGTCGGCATGATTCAGTCGTCAAAGGATTGCTTGGAAGAGGGAAGAGCAGAATGGTTTTTCTGGTGGTCTTGTACATGGATCGAGCACAGATTTTCCTCAATCTGGAGGATGGCTCTCAACTTGCAGTACTCGCTCAGGAAGATCTACATACTGAAATTAAGGTAAATTGATGCTCGAGATTGATTTAAGTATATCAGGTAGATTTGGTCTAGGTTTGATTTAGTTAAATGGGTTTTCAACATGTTCTTCTATCTGGGTAGTTGACATCTGACATAACTTGTTGGTACTCAAGGATTTGTCTTGGAATGGGTCAGTGATTGCTTGATCTTGTAAGGAATAGGATGTCTTACTGACTTGACCGTTCTCTCCTCACTTGATAGATATTTCCAGCTTCTTTTGGCATCAAAGTAGCGCTTGGCAATCTTAAAGTGAGTGATGGAAGCTTGGATAATAATCATCCGTATCACTATGTATGCAATATGCGCGATCCCCAGGGCACTTCCTTTGTCGAGGTATGTTTCCCGATCTCAAAGCCGAATAGTTTCTTTCGAGTGAAGTTGTTGGTAAACAAGCACTGACTTTCAAAGAATTGATTGCTTATATCCATTGGTTTCCTTCTCTCATTTCTTGTAAACGTAATATGCAAGGAGATGTTGGTTCCACCCATCGTATACATGTATCCAATGCCATTACAACACCAAACAAATTGCAGTCAATCTTAGAGTAACACTATTATTGTATTCTTAATGTGATTCTCTGAATCGCGACATCTGCTGTCGTAATGATAGACTAGTGATATATTTGCACGACATTTAAGATCTTAACGTTTTATCTCACTGCAGCTCGAGTTTCTCTCTTTCAATAAGGAAGACGACGACTATGAAGGATATGAGTACAGCATCAAGGGCAAGTTATCCGAGTTGCGAATTGTCTATCTCAATCGATTCATCCAAGAGGTGTGATCTGGCGGTCTATATACTACATGTTGCTGGTGCAGTTTTTAGATTCGATTCTTGGATATCTTTGTCTACTGTGATTTGCTGTTGTCTGTCTGTGGTTTTGTGGTTTAGGTGATTAAGGGAATTAATTTTCAAGCAGACCACATTTCTCTCTACTTAAGCTGTAGGAAGTAGAAAGAGGCAATCTAATCAACGCCTCTTGTTTCTACAATTTTTTGTCCCTTTCGCAGATCAGCAGTTACTTCATGGGTCTTGTTCCGCAAAATTCTGGCTACGTTGTGAAGCTGAAGGACAGATTTACGGATGTGGAGAAATTTTTCACTCAGTCCGAAATTGAAGGACAACCAGCTCTGAAGCTGGGCTTGTCTCTAAGCAAGCCTGTTATAATCATGCCTCGATCAACCAAAAGCACAGAGTACTGTCAATATTTTCTGATCTTCTGCCCGTCTTTTCCGCTTGCAAGTTTAGACTTGAATGGTTTAGAAGAAAAAACAATCTTCTGAATACAAGCTTTTCTCCCTTAAATTTGTCAAACAGAAGTTCTTATCTGCTATTAATGTTAACTATGACGATGAACTGATAGAACGGCTACGGTTCAGGCTTATGTTGGTTCCACCTAGTTGGAGCAACTGACTGACTAGAGCATGTAGTCCTTCTTGCTGTAAGGCATCTTTTTGGAGTTCTCTCCCCCTCTCACACTCTAATATGTGATTTTACAGTTTCCTTGAGTTGGATATTCTCCATATCAATGTCTCAAACAGCTTCAACTGGCTAGGAGGAGAAAAGGATGAACTTGGTGCTGTTCGTTTGGAAACAACAACTTTACAGGCTAGTTTCGAACTTACCAAATACAATTTCGCTGGCACGTAGTCGAACCTCGTAGTCGAGGTGGTCGGTGTGATATGCTTTTGGTCGAATGCCATGGAGATGCGTCACAATCTCCTTTTGGTGCTCTTCTTTCAAAAGCTCAAGGCTTTCCTTTGTTTCTCATGCAGCTGGAAGATCTTCATCTCGTGGTTGGTGTTGGGGGTAAAACGGGAGAAGGCATCATTCAGGAAGCGAACGGGCTCTCTCTTGTAGTTCGACGACCAATTCGTGATCTATGGCACCAGCTGCCAGCTGTGGAGGCATCTATAAAGGTAAATTAGCTCAAGCGCTTGTGCCATCTGACTTAACCTCGTCACAGGAAGTTACATATATATAGAATATATTCTAATATTACAACATGTTTGTTTCAGATCGAGAAATTAAAGGCAGCTCTCTCTGACAAAGAATATCAAGTGATCACTGAATGCGCTATTAGCAATATGGCAGAAACGCCGAACTTGCCTCCTCCAGTCATTGAGAAGGTGCCTAATGAGGACAAAGATGGGCGGGAGATAGAGATGAATGTGAAAGCTCCAAATTCTGACGACGTCGAAGTTCAACGAGCGGATAATACCAGTGGTTCTGCATCTGAGAGTTGGACGACTATAAAAGTTGGTGTGGGAATTAAGATGGTTGAGTTGTCCATATTCACCGGGAAGGCGAGGGAAGCACCATTAGCGTCTGTACAGGTATGGCCACAACTCAAAAGAAGACCTCGTGACTTCAGTATCGTATCAATGTAGCTTCTTAGACAGCAGAAACTCTCGTTCTTCCTATTTCATTGTTGAAATCTGTTTGGGGTTAGTGTGACCAGAGGTCCAGAATCATGCTTGTGGTGGAAGGCTTCTTGACTCGTGCTTACCTTTTGGTGTTGTAAACTTCAAGGAATACCTGATCACCTGCTTCTTGTGTTTCTACTCTGATACGTGTAGTTTACAAACAGTCTTTTCTTATTGTCCTCTAGAAGTCCTGTTGATTTGTTATATTTAAACCTCTGACTTAAACTTTGCAGTGTACATTCCTTTCGATTGTAGGCTCTGAATTGACGTTTTCAATTGGAGTTATTTTTTAATAGATCATATTCTTCCTTTGATAAAGCTACATGTTGTATCTGCGTTTACTACATACAGAATATACACAGTTGTAAGGGAATGGGACAATGCTGGTTCCTTTTCATTTTATTTGTCATCCCGCTTGAATATGAGCTGTTTCATTTGACAGGTTACAGGTGTATGGGCTGCGTACAAGTCTAACTCTATTGAGGAATCTACGATTATGGCTACGTTGGAGAAGTTCAGTGTCAGAGATGATAGAGAAGGAACTGAGTTAGAGATGCGTTACATGATTGGAAGTGCTGATGAAGAAGAATCCAACGTGATTGAACTGAGTGAGCAGGAGGGGCACAACGGATCTTGTAGTAACCAAGATTGCAGATCTGCTCTTACAATGCTGGTCATGGATGCTAATTTGTCGCCAACTTTACAAACGATTACCTTAAGGATTCAACGCCCCCGATTGCTGGTTGCTTTGGACTTTCTGCTTGCAGTTGCTGAATTTTTTATCCCTTCCATGCATGCGATGCTCTCTGATGGGAAGGGTGCAGACGCGAATCCCATCGAAATGCAAAATGCCATATTTCTTGATGACCCAGTTTACAAACAGTCAGACAGAGAAATATCATTATCACCGAAGAGGCCCCTTGTTGCGGATAAAGATGGTCTGGATAAGTACATTTATGATGGAAGGGGAGGAACAATTCGGTTGTTAGATCGCAAGGGAGCAGATCTTCGTGATTTTTCACGTGAGGTGATAATGTTTGTGGGAGATGGCAAGAGGCTCAAGTTCAAAAATGTGATCATTCAAGTAAGTGACTATGTTCTGAAAATGAGGTCCGAATTGCTCTTGTAGTCATTATGTCCAGTGGTTCTGCTGCAATGGCCTTACATCCATGCGAATGTTAAAACTGTCAGAGTCTCCAGCCGGAGGAGCAGGGTGAGACATTTGACTGGATAATGCATATATTACATCATGTAAATTACTTCTAGTATTTGATCTTTTTGGAAATTACTTTTGGGAAGGACATTTTCCTTGGGTGTGGGTGTCAACTTTTGCCGAACAAGTAATCAAATGCGTTCTTTGTAGAATGGCGACTATCTGGATTCTTGCATCTCGCTTGGAAGCAACAGCAGCTATAGTGCCTCTGAAGACGATGGCGTGTTTCTGGAAGGTCAACCAGAGAAACCTGCGGAAGCTAGTTCTTACAAGGAATCTGGGGTTGACGCTCAAGATGAACATCCTTCCATGGACAGGGCTGATGCCAAGCCTATCGTTGAGATCATCTTCAATCTTCAGGCAAGTGCATTTCAAGATTGATATCCTCTTTATCTCCAGCGTTCTTCCTAAGTAGATCGGTACTCATATTTTCAGCTTGATGTGGTTCTAGGCTATTGCCCCAGAGCTTACATTTTATGACAGCATGAAGAGACCAGCAGACAGTGTGCTTGTACCTGAAAGACTTTTACGGGCAAGAATGAACGTGTTCTCAAGGTACTTTCGCTCACTATTTTAAGAGTGAATGTTGCGTATGGAAGAGAAATTCTGTCTTCGACCTTTGTGAGGCTCTCCTTTATGGGTTTCCTGGTAGCGCTCCTGTGTAAGAGAATTACAGGGGCTTATGTCGAAGTATTTAAGAAGTTCAAGAGTATCTTTTTCAGGATGGTTGACAAGTGTAAAAGCCACACAATGTCCCAAATGGATGTAAATTGTAACTTCAGGCCCGTTTAGAGTGTGTAGAGATTCGAACATCAGAATTTAATCCACAGTTGCCTTGCAAATTTTACTTTGCTCATAAACGTGATGGATTTTTCTCTATGTACAGATTCATCCTCAAAGGAGAAGATATGGAGCTGAATGCCCAAGTAAATGGACTGACAATTGAAGCCAGCAGTGGAATTCATGTACTGGAGCCTGTAGACATGGGTGTAAAATACACGAAAGTGACCGGAAAGCAACATATTCATGTTGATATGTCGGAGGTTGTAACGAATTTCTCTTTCAGTATTTTGCAACTCATACTACGGCTCCAGACGGATGTTATGTCCTTTCTTCGAATAACATCGGAACAAACTACTGTTCAGTGCTCTGAATTTGACAAAATCTGGGCAGACGATGGTAAGTTTTGAGTGGGAGTTATCCTCTCAACCGGTCAGACATGAGCAGATGTTTCTTATTTTTGAAATAGTGGTGTCAAAGAATGACCTGAAGATTTTCAGCTGAGTCACCAGTGCATTGAATGTTCATATTGTGCTTATATAATGTGATCAAATTGACGATGTTAACAGATGAGAAGTCTGGAGCCAATTGCATCACGTTCTGGCGACCGAGAGCACCTCCAGGTTTCGCAATTCTTGGAGATTGTTTGACTCCTCGGTAAGTTTAGACTGTTACTTTAGCATCTACTTTAATCATGAAAGGGTAGGAAAATGGAAACAAAGGTTGTCCTCTATCCTGTAGATAAGATAATGTGTAAACACGTCTACAATTGATGGTATTGTTGGAGCTTGTTTCGAAACTTTATGTCTCTTTGGATAAGCTGTTGACTTTTATAACTTCCTGTATATTTGACAGAGACGAATCTCCATCGAAAGGAGTAACCGCCTTGAATATGAGCTTTGCTCGGGTCAAAAGGCCCGTGGACTTTGTGCTTGTTTGGTCGTCATATGAAGCTCAATTAGTGAATACAAGCAGGCTTTATGATGCAGACGATGACGACAAGCCTTCAGATTGTTCCGTGTGGCTCCCTGTGGCTCCCAAGGGATATGTTGTTCTGGGTTGTGTTGCAACGCCTGGAAGGGATCCTCCGCCACTAAATACATGCTTCTGTGTTTTAGCAGCTCTAGTGACACCCTGCCAGATGAGGGATTGTATAATTATTTCTCGAGATAAGTGAGTGTTACAAACTTTTCACCTGTTTCGTTTCTGTTCGTAGATAGACCTCTTGATCTCGTAGGATGTACGAGATTAAAAGCTAACTTGAGTGCCTTCTTACGTTATAGTATCACATTTTGAATTAGCCACGGATGAAGTGTAACTATTGTTTCTGATATTGTGGACAGTGATGAAGCATCTGATGCCAAAAAGTGGGCATTTTGGAGAGTGGACAATTCAACTGGCTCTTTTTACTTGGATGGACAGTCCGAGCATGCAAAGCCGTTCAGAGCGCAGGAGCTTAGGCAGATCATTTCCAATTATGAATCATTTCCAGTTCAAGAGACAAAGCCGTCAAGGTCAATACAGCCCACATCAAATCAACAGAGTCCACTTCATCATTCGTCAGCTAGACAAAGTCTTACTCCAAGCCTGTCTTCAGGACGTATATATGAAAGTATTGCCCGATTCGAGTTAATTTGGTGGAATAAGGGAAGTGGATCAAAGAAGGGAATTTCCATATGGCGACCCGTAATTCCGGCTGGTTGTGTTATACTGGGGGATATTGCCGTGGACGGGTAAGTAGTAAAATCAGATGACATCTCAGTACTCCCAAAGGTTTTGTCTTGCAGGAGAAGATAGACGTTGTCTTAATTTTTATGGTTGTGTGATCATAGATACATGTTGAATGATTGCAAAGCTTAAGTACTGATGGTGGAGTGATATATATCCAGGTCCTAGTCTTAGACTTGACTGTGAAAGCTTATTTTTGTATTTGTTTGTTTCAGATAGAGCTCGGGGTCTTTGTCTTCAGGCTATGAGATGTAAATACTAGTGAAGCAAACCACTGTTTATAGTTACTAGAGTAACTTGATGTCTTTCATTGTGGTAGGTTTCTGCCACCTGATGTTGGCCTGGCTTTACGTGATAATGAGGAGAGTGGACAGCTCTGTAAGCCTCTGCGGTTTTACCGGAGAGGACAAGTACCACGAAAGAGGAATATGGGGACTGTTTCATTTTGGTTTCCTGTCGCTCCCGTCAACTATGTCGCTATGGGCTGTATAGCGAGTACCACTTCCAATTCTCCTCCAGAAGCGATTAACTTTGTTCGATGTGTTCGGAAGGACCTTGTAATCGGGGCAAACTTCAGCAGCTCCAGCTTGTGGGACTCCACTTGTATGAAGAGTGGCAACGACGAACTGCGGATTTGGCCGGTGGAAAATGAGGTAACTGTCTTCACGTACCCCTTTATTAAGTATTACGATCAGAAGAAATGTTTATTCACTACATTATATTACGAACGTAGTGATTACTGGTGGGTATTGTACTTGAATCATGTTCTGTATTGCTAATGGATCCAAGTGCTGTAACAACCTTCAGGCACATACATTTTTCGTGATTCGGAAGATAAAAGCTCCACCAAAAGAACTTGCTCTCAGGCTTGCTGACTATCAAGAATCGAGCGCTCCTGACAATATTGTCAGTGATGTCGAGGTGAAACGTATTTCAGCAACGTTTTTTGACGACTATGGGGGCCTGGTGAGTACAGACCAAACATTGAGCATAATTTCTGATCGCATTGAAGCGAACAGTCTCTCTTGTGAAAGAATTTCGACTATTTAATATCTCTTGGTTGTCTTGCAGATGGCACCTCTTGTGGATGTCTGTCTGAGTGGCATAACAGGTAGTTTACATGGGCGCATGGAATCTATGAGCTGTACTGCAAACTTTAATCTCACAGCAACAAGTTTCAACGGGAAATATAGTGCCTGGGAACCCCTGGTTGAGCCCTGGGACGGACGCGTGAGGTATGTTTGCTTCTTAACTAGTCATAGTTGAGCAGTAAAATTACAATAAAGCACTCAGTCAGGACAATGTGTAAATTTAAGGGCGTATGGCATGGGAAGTTCTGAAGTAAACTCTTACGAGAAGTTCAGCTCTACACTTGATTACACAAGTTGGCTCAAAGATCTTGTTTTGTTTGTTGGCAGATTTTCGTACAGTAGTGATCCAGAGAACAGAGCCCGGCCAACGGTCACGAATATCCGATTGACAGCTTCAAGTGAATTGAACATCAACCTGTCAACGGCAAATGTGAACATGTTGTTGGAGGCTTATGCCAGCTGGAACAGAATGAATCAGTTGGAAGAAAAGTCGAAGAAACAGTTCTCTCTGGTCAGTTTTCTTTGCAAAGTGAAACATTTTACCACGTGTGTTTTCCAATGGCTCGATTTCGAAAGCACCTGTCTCTTCATTTTGATGAGTGACTTCGTTTACTGACAGGACTCGAAGGGCCGATGGAGTAGTAAACCTGCTCTTGATTTAAAGAGTCAAGAAAATCTTTCTTGCGTTAGTCATAACGAACTGGGAGAAGAATTGTTTTTGCGTATAGTCGAGAACAAGCATTCCAAAGTTTTATCGCTTCCATCAGGAGGCAGTGTATCAGTGAGACTTCCCACTGCACACAGCATTGAAGAACCAGGTGCTAAGGCAACGTCTAGGAGAAATCCCAACAAGTTTGTGGCAGTGAAAATTGGGGATGCCCAGGTACGTGTCTCATCTCGTTTCACATGCAATATAGGTAGTTCAAACTGTCCTAACAATTTGCCCTACTTTAGTACACCGTCATGCTGAACAGTTTCTCTTTGCGCTCTGCGGCGTCATTGTCCCATGAGGTCGTATTCTCGTTGTCCTTCTGAATTTGTACGGTCACTGTTCTGAGCTCAGGGATGCATGCTCATTCTTCGTCCCCGTTGTCTTCTTTGATATGCCATTGCATTTCATTCACTATAGTCTTCCTAGCCTTCAGCTTATATAGGTCTGTGCAGGCGGGTCAAGGCCTGCCTTTCGTATTCATTCGCTGGGCTCTTCATGGAAGCCTGCAGATCCATCTCGGTGTTGCGAACTGCAGTCCTATTGTAGGACCGTGGTAGAAAAATGCTTCTTGGTATTTCTGCAGGGTATGTCATGCAAAGTGATGCAATGCAGCTTCTGTTAATGATAAAGGCTTGCATTTATCATGGCAGCGTTAACCGCACTCCAACTCAATTTCTCATTATAATGTTATTCCCTTCTGGTTACTAATGAGTCATCGAACTTTACAAGTTTTCTTTACCACGCACCTGAGAACGCTCATCATCCTTTCTAGTTGCTCTATCGTTGCATCCCTATGTTAAGCACACGGTTGACCACCTGCTATCTCAATTAGTATATTATATTTTTAACTGCCTCTAGTGCTTTGTTTTGACTTATTTATATTTATAATTTACGAGGCTGGTGCTTTCTATCAATTTTAAAATCTTTAGATGTACTGCCTCCAATATTATGAAAGCCACTCATGCCGCGAGCTGAGTTGTCGGCTGTAATTTGCTGACGTTGTTACTGAAAGAAGGATATTTTGGAGGAAGGCTTTTCTCTTCTCATCATTCTTGTGTGTTTATCACGCTACCAGCCCAAGTAGATCGTTACTAACCTTCGATTAATAACACACTGTAATTATTTCATCCTGTAGGTTCCAAGAGACGAAGGAATAGGTGGACGTGATTATATGGTGGCCATACGTGTTGTACCCCGTGCCCAATCATCTGACCAACGACAGCTCCAGTACCAGAGCGCCCGAACTCGTTCTGTTCCTCCAGAAGATGGTGCATTTTCGGACAGTGTCACTATACACTGGGATGAGATCTTTGTTTTTGAAGTGGAATCGGAGGTAAGTGAACGTATTTCCACTTGAACTCTGGATATTGAAGTAAATGTATAATTCCCACTTTGCGTGGTCAAGTTGCAAACGCAATCTTTTTCACGGAAGCAACACGTCCTTGGTTCAGTTTGACATCTACGCAGATGGGCTTGGTAACATGCGTTCAGCTGTAGATAATGAGACAAGCTTGAATACTCTGCATGAATTAGGGAAAACCCTTGCTCACATCGAATGAAAGTTTTCAGTTTACAAACAAATTTCGCCTGAACGCTTGATAGTAGAAACCTTGCAAGAATTGAAATCTGGTTAAAGCTTTAAATCTTGAAAATCAAAGGCCTCACAAGCATCTACTGCCGATTTATGGTTTTGACAGGAAGGAAACACAGCGGAAATTGTTATTACTGACCTCAGTAAAGGTACATTTTACATATATACTTTATAACCTCTCCAAGAAAGGAGGATCGCATTTCTGTAGTAGCCGCACTTAAGTTCATTGCTAATCTGTCAATTGCAATCTGTTCTAATACTGTTTATTTTCCATGTGACTCGCTACTGATTGCTCGTGTCTTTAGCATGTTAAGACTGCATTTCGTACTTTTGGAAGCCTTCATTGCTCAATTTCTCATGTGGTTCTTCTATTTCTGTTCCGCCTATGCCACCAGCCTCTCTGGTTTCCTACTTTCTCCTCGCATGCTGGGCCCTTGCGGTTGATTCTTTGTTATTTCAAAATTTTAACTAAAAAGTCTTTGATTCTGCTCAACCCAAAATACCGTAGGTGGACCGGTTGGATTCTGTTCAACTCAACTATCACAAGAATCAACAAAGCCCTCTGTTCCGGAGAATAATACTCATATACCGTGGTCGGATTTGGATCTTCAGTGGGAATTGGTTTATCCGACACAAAGCGAGGTCTGTAGCAAGAGTCGAGGCATGAAGGCTTTAACTAAATGTGTTGAATAGGGAAAGCATTTTGCGTTGAATGCATGTGCACGAATCTGGTTTGTGACGAGGATCTATCAAGTTTTGATGAACACGCGGTTTCACTCGCTGGACATTTATGTCATTTTGGACAATAGAATAGACGTACAACTACACTCTCCTTAGTGTTGTCATGCGTCTTACTTGCATATGCAGCTCAAAGAAGGGAATGTCGGAGAACATTGCGGGAGAATAAGTCTCGCGAAGCACTTCTTCTCAATCGTTGGAGAGGTCTCCAAAGACGCCGATGGAAAACGACATGAGTCAGGAACTTTCCAGTTTAGCCCATCACCTGAGGGTCCATGGAGCCATGTTGGTCTAAACTATGCTTTAGGTGCGGCTCCTTGGCAAGTAAATAAGGATATTATGGCCAGTGAGTTCTACGTCGATGGAGGAGTAAAACACTTAATAATTCGCTCACTAGTTGTTGTGCAAAACGGGACTGACTTCGACGTGGAAGTAAGTCTATGCATGGTATCAGCTCTTGGTGTGAAAAGAGCCGTGCGGGAGAGTGGAGTCGGTGAAACCGTTGAAGAAGAGGTGTTCGAGAATGAGCGGTACCAACCTTTATCTGGCTGGGGAAGCAAATGGCCAGGTCACCTCTTACCCTCAGATCCTGGACGATATAGCGACAGAGACTCCAAAGGATCAACAGAGGTAATCTTCTGTCAGACATTTTGCTTGCATGCTATGGACTATGAATTTCGGTGGTAATGATGCTTTGCTGGTAGCGTTGTTTTAGCTCCATAGAGTTTGCCCGCATGCAATTTTGCTCACAAAGAAGGTTATCAATTGACTGTGCCCTTGTTGTTAATCAATGCAGGAATTTCCTGCCGTGAAGCTGCCGCCAGGCTGGACATGGACTAGTGATTGGCATGTTGATCAAGTGGCTGGTGTAGATGAAGAAGGCTGGTCTTATGGTTTTGACTTTCGCAATCTAAACTGGCCCCCAACTAATGGTTCAGAAAGGCTTTTCAGTTTTGTGAGGCGCAGGCGATGGGTTCGGTCCAGACAATCTGTCACCGGTGGAAGTACTCGAGTGACTGTAGGAACATTAGCACCCGGTGGGAAAATCCCTCTACCAATAGCCTGCCTCCGTGCAACTAGTCCCGACTATTGCCTCCAAATTAGACCTCAACCTGGAGGATATCACCCGGGGAGCTACAAATGGAGCCAAGTGATTCCTTACAAAGGATTTCCTGACCACGGAGTGAAACAAGAGTCATCAAAGGAAATAAGGATACAGTCTCTTGTAGAAACAGAGGAGTTGCTAAGCTGTTCACTGGAAGCATCCAGTAGCTTGTCATCAGAGAAAGATATTTGGTTCTGTTTGGAAACAACTGCCACGAGTGTGGGGAAAGATGCAGAGATGGACCCGATCAAAGACTGGAAGTTAGTGATAACAGCCCCTTTAATGTTGACAAACTATCTTCCCGTTCCTTCCGAGTATTCTGTATCTGAGAAACGAACTGGCAAGGGTTTAATAGTAAGAGAAAGAGGTATAATCAAGCCGGGGGAAGCTGCAGGAATATTCCATGCAGATCTTAGAAAGCCACTCCATCTTACTTGGCTTCCGCAAGGTGGTTGGCAGCCCAAGAAGGTATTGCCCGACAATTCCGTTTTTTTTTTCCGTATTTCCTTTTCGTCTTGGTTTGTGTGTGCACATTTCGTGAGGTAGGTGTCACTAAAATCGCCATGTTCCTTTTTTGAAGGAGACGGTCATTATATCTCATCCATACAGAGATGTTGCAAATCACATGATGTACACCAATTCCAGAACTTCAAGGTAAAATATTAAGTTGGCCAACCTTTTCTCCTTCTAAAGGCAACGGTTTTGTGTTGTATATTATATGGATGATGTGAAGAAAGAAACTCTCCCTACTCAAGGAAGGTGGAACACATCCTTGATCAGTTTGCATTGTCATTACCAAGATTTCGTATCACCATGGTCAAAACGTACTTTGCTTCATGCAGGTCAATGGAAGTCATGATTGAACACGATCATGAAGTAAAGGGCGTCGCTGCAAAAGTAGTTCGGATTTATGTACCTTGTTGGCTGGACAGTGCCAAGTGTCCAGCTCTGCAATTCAGAATCATTGACCTTTCTAAACCCGGAAAGGAGAATGGGCCAGATCGTCATACTCAACCGCAGGAGGGGATAACGATGGGAAGGCTCAAGGAGCAAATCAATCAAGATGAAATGGAAAATTATCAGGCATTGATACCTGATATAGACGTGGATACCATGGGTTTGTCTGTGGCTGTGACTAGTAGCAATCCAGATTTGTTTGGACCTATATCACCGCTCAGTCCTCTCAATAATCCGGTACAGAAACAAAATTAGAGTTTTTATCTTGTTACGACTTTGTTGTCCCATTTGATTATGTTTGTTCTTCCCGCTCTAAGTTATTATTTGCTTATATGCTGAGAGGGAAGTTGAAAGTGCTTGGCTTTGTCCAAATGCTTAGGTATATGTGTTGATAATATATTTTGCAGGATGGAACTGTCGAGCTAAGAGGGCTGGCCGAAAACGGCTCGTTTTTCCGATTCCTTGTAACAACATCATCCTGCCCCTTGAACTTTGTCAAAACGAAGGTATTTCAAATTATCGAGACCTTTTATAATTCAAATCCATAAAGTTTGGTCCAGTTAGATTCTCATTTTTTCAGGGTTTTAAGTATGGGTAAATGAGGACAGTTGCTTGGTGGAGTTTATCTCTTCAGTTACTGACTGTAAACATCAAAATGGTTGTGCTCACTATATTATCTAACCTTCTGTTTGTCGAACATTGTCTTTTAAACTTCAGTTTGAAAGTTCTTTATCACTTTACTTCATCTGAGCACCTTTTCTTCACAGGTATTTCGCATCCGGCCCTATATCTTGTTTACAAACAGGTGTGGACAAGCGATATACATGAAACAGAAGCGGGCAGACGATATCAAGACATTACACCCTGCTGATTGGAGAGTCTCGTTTCCTTTTCCTGAAGCGGAAGAATCTGAACTTTTGCAGGTTTCGTCTTACATCCTCTTCTCTGCGGTCGCTTCTTTTTCTGGATAATATTAGTGTCCAAAATCCTTTGTATTCATTATGGATTGTCAACAAGGAGGACAGATAAAAAAATGACGAGATTTCAGTGTATGTTGCTTACAAATAAGTGGATATCAAAAGTCCAGCCGTTTGTACCAGTACACTGAAATACAGTTACCAATGAGTCTTATAAACTTGGACAATGGACCAGCCAATACTGGGCAGTGCTATCAAGCCTGAATCTTGAACTCTGTATTACAGTTCAGGGCATATATATTCTACTTCGAAAGAATTAGATAACAGTTTAAGATGCAGGATTTGTGTTCGCAAGAATGGATCAATCTCTACAAGTTACATTCTGACGCAGTTGTCCCGCAGATCAAGTTGGATGGATGCCAATGGTCTCTACCGTTTTCCGTTGACAAAGAAACAACTATGCACATTGCTCTGCGAAAAGAGGATGGAGGAAGACGCTCTGTTCGGATCGAAATACGTGGATATGAAGAAGGATCGCGTTTTCTAGTCATGTTCAGATTAGGTTCTGCTCGAGGTCCATACAGGTACGATCTTCCTTTGATGAAGATGCACCCCCTCTACAAAACCATGTAAACTAGCTGATTTTAAAATCCTCAGAGTGGAACTGCATAAGATGAGGACACCACCCATATTTAACTTTAAAGTTTGCATTTGTACAACTCTTGTAAAGCTGCACGGACTTTTGTTTGGTCACTGCCAATGTGAAATCAATCCAGCAATTTTCTTCTCTCAATGTGACAGGCTGGATAATCGCACCAACAATACTGAATTCAAGATACGACAGAATGGCCTGGATGACGACGCGTGGATGAATCTGCCTCCTCACTCAACGAAAACGTTTGCCTGGGAGGATCACTGTCAAGAACAACTTTTGGAAGTTTTAGCTCTTGGCAACAACGTTGTTATTGATGTGAACAAAATAGGTTATCATCCCGCTCTAAACTTGGGCCCGCACTCGTCCACGACTGTAAGTGTACGAGTATTGGAATTGATGGAGGTGAAGACCGTAAGATTTTTTGAAGAAATAGACGAGTTGGAGGAGGTAGAAGGTGAACATGAGATATCATCAAGTCAAGAAGAGATGATGCCAGCTGAGGAGGATGCTGAAGAGCAAGCATCAGCCCAAACTGAAGTTGTTATAGATATTCCCAGATTGGGGTTATCAGTAACTGACCACAAACCACAAGAAATTTTATACCTATTTTTGGGGAATGTTATTTTCACCTATCAAATGGGATTTGGGGCTAGAACTAGCAGGTAAGAACTTGTTACGTCGACGTTCAGATTTTTCTTGGAAAATAAGTTCACATGTTGCTCAACGGGATTCTTGCACTTATTCTGATATTTAATTTTGTTAGTAATCCTTATCTAACGTCAAGTCTCCGTGTTTCTTCTGAATCTGATTGTAGTCTTAAACTACGAGTTGGCGACCTGCAACTGGATAATCAACTTCCTCTCGCATGGATGCCAGTCCTTCTTGCTCCCGAGAGGAGGAATGAAGACAAGGAGTTCTTATTAACGGCCACGGTCACAATGTATGATGACAGTATAGAAGCTACGACTGTGTTCTCCTATGTTGGGGTTCAAGTACGTGATTTACTCTCTTCCGATTTAGAACTTTAACCATCACTGTATCAATGCATTGGTAAAAATTTTAGTACCTGTACTCTTGATTTCAATTTTTCAAATAGCCGTCATTCACTTCCGAAGGAATATTGCAGTATTTACGAAGGTGCACCACTAGCAACTACAAAGGTGCTCAAACTGTTACAGTGGACTATTCACCAAAGTTCCGAAAAACGTGGTGTTTCTTGGCTCACAACAAATGTTGTATTGTAGGTGCAAAGTGGATGGCGTGTCAATGTTCATGAGCCGATCATCTGGGCTATAGTAGAAATGTACAACAATCTCCATTTGGATCGATTGTCTGATGGTTCGGACGTCGTCCAGGTTGATCCAGAGTTCCGAATTGAGTAAGTATATTCGTATAGGTCAATGCAATGCTCGTTCTGTCTTAACTCAGCTGACTTTGTTGTATGTATAAGGCTATGTTTGGAGAAATTTCAGAAGAGGAAATTACGGACACTGTGATATAGCATCTTAAACTAGCTTTTGCAAGAGCTGCCTTCGTTTTGGTTTTCTGATCAATAGCATGAACGAGGGAAAATAGCAGAACTTTTTAAGACTAGAATAACCTTTACTGGTACAAGTATTGACTTTCTATAAATCCGAAAACTGTTTATCTTATAATGCATTGTTCGGTTTCGCAGTTTAATTGATGTCTCAGAAGTACGACTGAAGCTGACCTTGGAAACTGCTCCAGCTGCCCGTCCCCGTGGCATGCTTGGATATTGGAGTCCATTGGTTACAGGTCTTGGAAATACTAACAAGATGCCGGTATGCTTCCCCTATTCAGCCTTTCATATCTTCTCATTGTCCTGTAGCTAAACTGCTCCATCTGTGATGTGTATAACGGAGCATTTTATAACACATTTTCTCCCTTGCATTTCAGATCCACTTTAGCAACGTCCTCCATAAAGGTAGATATATGAGGAAAAGTCAGATCGGTCCTGCAGTTACAAGCAGGATTCGAAGGGATTTGATTCATCAGCCTCTTCTTCTTCTGTCTGGAGTAGACTTTTTGGGCAATGCAAGTTCAACCATAGGAACATTGAGCAAGGGTGCAGCCCAGTTGTCTAATGATGGAAAGTACTTACGACTTCGATCCAAGAAGGTACTTTGGATAGGCTTCTTATATCACTTGTCGATTGCTGTCGAATTTTCTGGCTTCATCTGCTGGGCCTCTTTAGTGATGGAGCTCATTCAGGCCTCATAAACTTAGAATCTGCTCGCTGTTTCAGGATCGAGCCAGAAATTTATCCGGTGTTGGTGATGGGCTCATCCAAGGGACCGAAGCATTGGCACGAGGTTTCGCATATGGTTTGACTGGCGTTGTGACCAAGCCCATCACCAATGCAAGGCAGCACGGCTTTGTCGGTTTCTTCCAAGGTGTAGGGAAAGCTGCCGTTGGTTTTGTAATGCTCCCTGTTAGCGGGGTGCTTGAGTTTGTATCTTTAACGGTGAACGGTGTTGGCGTGAGCTGCACCAATTGCTTTGAGATTTTTGACAAAGAATCTCATGTCAAGAGGACAAGAGTACCAAGGGCTATACGAGGAGACGGTATCCTGCAAAAATATGACAGCAATGATGCACTGGGGCAAGTACGTATATTTGTGACATCATACCGGATAGATGGTTCAGCATTTGTCCTACCATAGAAAGTTGCTTTATGTATCTGACTGATGTCTTATGTTCGCTAACTGCATAATCTGACGGGTTTTTATTTCTTCTCTTCCCTCGGAAGAAATTAGTGAGAAATTCAATGTGTTATCATTGGTCGGTCTTAACTTGCATACGTGGCTAAACTACAGGCACTTTTACATCTGGCCCAGTCGGGAGCCCTCTTCGGCTTTAGGGAAGCGTTCAGCGAGCCTGCTAAATACGCTTGGTCTGATTTCTACGAGAACCATATTGAGCTGCCGAAAAACAAAGTTTTGATGCTTACAAATCGGCGTGTGATGATGCTAGTGGTAAGTTTGAAACTCCAAATTATGTTGTGGTCCAACTTTCTTGTTTGGTCCTGTTCAAGCATATACTTAATCCAGCTTCTAAGTCTTAGGCGATCTGGATAGTATAATATCAGAGCAATTTGGAAAAGAGTTCTGTGGTCTGATCAGTCACCATCCACTAATCTAGTTCTCACTATGCTTTCAAATCTCTACAGCGCCCTGCGTCGCATTTCCAAAAGCCAGAGAAGTTGTTTACAGATCCTAGCTCAATTGAGTGGGAAGTACCATGGCGAAACGTTCTAGCCGTGGAGATAGCTGCTCACCTTCAGTCCATTGTTGTACTCCACCTAAGATGGAATACAAAGAGCTTCGCCCAAGTCATCAAATGCTACCATGGAGAGCCGGAGGGAAGAGTTTCCCACTCTAAGAAAGTTGTTAAAAGCATATGCGAAGTGTGGAAGAAATATGGACCAGACCGTCACACTGTTACTTCTGAGGTTAGACTTTTCTAATTGTGCTCTGGGAAAATCGACATCATTTGCTTCAGACTCTGTAGTTGTTATATTATTGTTTCTAATAACTTGTAGAGTAAGAATCCGAGTTTTAAAGTTGGCACATTTTTTAATCAGATCAAGGATCTTCGAATCTTTGTGCTCTCTATTCTATTGACATCTAGTTTTCTGCCGTAAGCTCAGGAAAACAGGAAGGATGCATAGAACAGACTCAGGAGAAGACAAGGATGTATAGTATGATATACTGAGCTGATCAGTCAGTGACTTCATTTAAACAACCTGTCTTTTAGGAAACCGAGAACTTACACGATAAACACGAGGATGTCAATGTGATATATGTGGTTAACTCCACTATACGAGAAACCCTTTTCCACTCTGAAAGTGCTCCTTTTTTTCCTCCTCTTTCATCTTACGTCACTTGTCTTTCCTCGTCGTCAATCCGTTGTCGCCAGAAACGCTTTAGGTCTATTCTCGTCAAGGCAGGCAATTCGTAACCACCGCACTTTGTACGAAGGTCAGATACGAGCTATTACAAAGCACGTATTTTTTGAAACGTATGTGAAGTGAACTTTATTTCTTCCAGACACCTTGGGTGCACAATCCTTGGCTAGCATCTAGTCACGACATATGCAAACATGTCTTGGGTACGGTTGCAAATCTGCTCAAAGCTAGCTTAGGTTTCGGGGTTGCCTCCGATTATCAACTAAACAATGCAGTTCCGTTGTCGCACAGTGAAGGTGTTTTTTGCTGGGTGCAATCTTTTTGTTCGTCGTTTTGGTAGATTCCTGACAGCAAGCCATGTATTTACCTTAAGTAGGCATCAGCTTGGAGTTCGTTATCATTCACCATCCTGTTTTGAAAATCTGTAGAATGCAATCGTTTTTTCTCGTGCAGATACTCCGCGTATTCTGATACGCAATATGCATTTGTAAGTATTGCCGTTCTGAAACACAAGAGTATATACTGTTGTTGGTTATGTTAGAACTCTCTTTCTTTCGTTGCTGTCAACTTATTCTGAACTTATTATTGAATTCACCAACGGTGGATATCAAAACTGTTCCAGTGCATACCATTGTCTGCAATTGGCTTCCACCACCTCTTTTTGAAAACTTAAGCTATGTCCATGGCTTCGTCCCACACTCCATGCAGGGGTGATATCTCTGAGACCAAGTACTGTACAAAGACGTTCTTTAGCATACTTGGATATTTTCCACAATGAAGCTATTTAAAATTAATCGCCTATTTATCAGCTACTTTTACACTCACAGGGTCCGACAAGTTTCTAGAGTTATATTCGAATTTGCATCTGAAAGGTTCACAGGCAGTGGCCTCCGCCGAAAAGGGTGATGAGGGGAGTCGTTGTTGCCCTCAAAATATTGTCAGATGATCACTTTAAGCTGGGCTCGCTTGTTTCGAACCAAGACCCTGCTTGTTATAGGACTCTTGTGCAGATACAAAGCATGCATAGAGTTGAATGTCTAAGATAATCTACCAGAAAGAACCTTTAGATGAAGCCATGAAAATTTATGCCAATGTTAGTGTTTACACTGATCACTTACGAGCTGACTCCTGACATTGTACATTCAACTTTTTTATTCCGACTCATATGTATAATGTATCGCAACATTGTCTTCTGTAGTGTTTGTGAGCCGTGACGTCAGAGTAGGGCTGCATACTGACGGCCTTTTTCTTCTCAGGAAAGGAGGCATGCGCACCAATTAAGGCTTATACCAGCAAGCCTTAGATCAAAACGCTCATCAAATCCGGGAAGTTTGAGAGATGATGGTTTGATCGAAACATCCTCAACTGCTGAAGCTAGAAGCCTTGCCCGTGAAGATGTTGGGGGCATGACTCAGGAGGTCGTGTTGTTTAGGAAAATATGGATCAGTGAACAGGAAACAGGCTTTACATGCTCTGTCTGCTCCCTGGTATGTCCAGTTATTGTATGAAGAACATGCTTGTGTTGACTTATATTTGCTTGTATTGTAGCTAGTCCTTTAATCATTTGTAAATGTATGGCCCGATTTTCATGCAACCTGTCCAGAGGGTTTCGTCATTAGAACCATTAGCTAAGATATGTGTTGTCACATGCTGTTAATATGATGTTAACTTTTATGCAGGGCACCACGCCTGCAGAAATCTGCACAATATGGCGACCACAGGCTCCAGACGGGTATGGGCTGCACACGTTATGCATGTAAAATAATTGCAAGTCCATGTTGGTCAACTATTTTGTAGTACATGTTTGACACGTGCAATGCTCACCAGTACATATGGCTGCCAGGTACGTGTGTGTAGGAGATATTGTCCATCAGGGTGTTGAACCACCAGCTGTTGCTACCACATACAAAAATGCGGAGGGCATGTTTGCCAAACCCATCAGTTACGATCTGGTATGTCGCCCTTCGAGATTTCACAGAACTTCAGCTTCTGTTTTCTGTTCGGATTGTAAACTTGTCCTTAGGATGTCTTGAGTCTTAAGATTTGGGAAAAATTTAGACGTGAGGCCAATAGAGCTACCAAATCAGCAGATAGCTCCTAGGTTACCCCTGCTTCTCTTCTGTATTACAGAAACTCGTGACGACCTTTACTGTCTCTACCTAGCTACTTACACAATGATTGGAGCTGATGGAGTTTTCCTTGAGTTAAACTCTTGCTTATAAAACTTTTATGTTTAGATACTTGGAATAGGCTTTCGTGTCCATGCGTGCTCGAATTGTTGCTTTTCATGTAAATAAAGAATTAATGGTTTGAATATTCATGAGACAAGATTGTAGATATAGAAATGTTCCCTGTCATTTTTCAGCAAATGTTGAGGTGGCTAAAAAACTTTCTAGCTTTTTAGTGTATGAAACGTTTTATGATGGTACTTTTTGCGCGCAGGTGTGGAGAAATTGGAAAGATGGCTTTACGGAGCACGTGTCAATTTGGATGCCGAAGCCCCCTCAAGGATATGTAGCATTAGGCTGTGTAGCAGTAGCTGGGTACATGGAACCGGATGCTGATGCATGTTGGTGCATCAGAGAAGATTTGGCAGAACACACGGAATTCGAAGATTCAATTGTTTGGGAAGCACCTGTTAATTCTCCATGGGACTGTTACATATATCCCATCACGTGTGAAGCCCTCACGTTTTTTGCGTTACGTGAGCATGAGCATAATGCTGGAGTTAGACCTAGAAGGGTGAAATTGACTAGTGTCACTAATGTATATCAAATTTAGGTTAGCACCTATTAGATGGATCCCATCCCATGTATATTTATTCTTTTATGAGACGTATTGAAGTCTCAAATAGAAATTTCACCTGTTATATCTGCTCTGGAATAATTCATATCCTCTCTTTGTTCATCTATCCTTGCAGCTAAATAGAAGTATGGATGTTAAGTTTGACAAGTATGTGAGAGTATGATGGTAACAGAAGTGAGGCAATACAAGAAAGAGTCGAGAGACACAGATACTGAGTACTGGAGAGCAGATCTTAGTTATGTTATACATAGGACCTGGATTGGGTTTAAGTACCCAATCCGAGGTGACAAGGGAAACTGGTATTTACACCCGCGTAGTGGGAAGGGTAGTGGTGTCTAATGATGACAAGGACACCTCAATAGTAGTGGGGTAGTGGCGTAGTGGGCTACAGTCTAACAATGATTACACAAGAAGCAGCGTAGAAGGAATAGGGAGTAATCAGTATTCTAACACTCCCACTTACTACCTACTTACTTCGCTCATCCACATTTCCAACTAATAAACCTAAATTCTGATTATGATACCACTGCTTTTCTCTAGCTAATGGTTTTGTCATAATATCAGCAATCATTTCTTCCGTTGGAACATAAACTAATTTCACCAAGTTATTGGTAACCAGATCTCTGACAAAATGGTATCTAATGTCAATATGCTTAGATCTCTCGTGACTTTTGTTGTTCTCTATCTGTGACATGGTACTTTGGTTGTCACAGAAAATAGTGGTCGACTCCAGCTCAAAACCTAGATCGGTTAGTAATTCTCTTAACCACATAGCTTCAGCTCCAGCCTTGGACAAAGCCATGTACTCGGCTTCTGTAGAAGAAAGCGCTACTGACTTTTGCTTCTTGGATGTCCAACTAATGGTTCCGCCATTAAGTTGGAAACAGTATCCAGACGTCGATCGTCTCGTGTCAAGGCAACCACCCCAGTCTGCATCAGAATATCCAGTCAAACCGGATGGTTTGTCAACCCTCGTGAACACAAGGCCAAAGTCGAGAGTTCCTCTCAGGTATCTGAAAATTCTCTTGACTGCCTTCCAATGTGTCAATCCAGGATTTGACATGAACTGAGCCACAGAACTGACAGCAAAGGATATATCTGGTCTAGTGCAGACCATAGCCCACGTCAAGCTCCCAACTGCAGCTTGATATGGAATATTCTTCACCTCTTCACTTTCTCCCACTGAATTGGGAGAGTCAAGCGTACTTAACTTCAAACCGGGTTCCATGGGTGTATCAATTGGCTTACAGTCAGCCATGTTGAACCTCGCAAGCTTTTCAACCAAATATCGTGGTTGGGAGATCCGAATCCACCCTTCTTCACGATTTCTGTCAACTTGCATACCAAGACAATGATGGATCTCTTCTAAGTCCACCATTTCGAACTCCGCTTTAAGTTTCTCCTTGATCTGCGTGAGGAGACGCAATGAATTGCTTGCCAGTATACAGTCGTCCACGTACAGTGCTAAATACACAAATGCATTCTCCTGAAAGTGAACGTAAACATTCTGATCTGCATTAGCCCTGGTAAAGGCAATCTGTAGTAAGAACGAGTCAATCCTCTGGTACCACTGTCGTGATGATTGTTTCAGTCCATAAATGGACTTATTTAGTTTACACACCATGTTATTCTCAGAAGAGATCTTCAACCCTTCAGGAATGGCCATGTAGACTTCTTCGTCCAACCGCCCGTTCAGGAATGCAGTTTTCACGTCCATCTGGTGCAGCTCTAAATTGTATTGAGCTGCTAGAGCCATTAACACCCTGATGGATGTCATCTTCACCACCGGGGAAAAAGTTTCTGAAAAGTCAACACCATAAACCTGTGAATAGCCTTTGGCTACTAACCTGGCCTTGTATCGATCAACAGAACCGTCAGGCTTGTATTTGATTTCGTAAATCCATTTGCAGCCAACGACGTTCTTACCCGCAGGTAACTCTGTCAGTGTCCAGGTGTGATTTTTCTTCAAGGAAGTAAATTCGTCCTCCATAGCTTGTTTCCATTTGATGGAATTAGCATTTTGTAAGGCCTCTTCATAAGAAGTAGGTTCTTGGTGAGTCTCTCCGTATGAAAATAGACCTCGATGCTTCTTCCTCTTCTCCAAAAGTTGATCATATCTTTCGACACGTTTCCTTACTCTTTCCCCCTTTCGAAAGAGAGGATCGATGGAGTGGGAAGACGATGAAGCATCCCCAGTAGCTGCAGGCGGGACTTCAGATGCAGTGTTGTGAATTCGAAGTTCTCCCAGTAAGTCTTCGAGGTTGCACACTGTATCATCAAGAGGAGCCGAAGAGAGAGAATTCTCCCGTAGCTTCCACATGCGTCTCTGATAAGTCTGGCCAAAACGGGCTGGATAAGTTGCAGGGACTTCAGCAGTGGGAGAATGACTTACGGATGAAGTGGAAGTTGCCTGTGGAACTCCCACTGCATGTGATGGTGTCCCTGGACTGAATTCTCCTACCGCTGGTGGTCGTCCTGCTGGTTGCTGTTCTGCTGGTAACCTCCTGCGAACTGGATCAGTCGATGGAGCTAGTGGAACAGGGCGAAAGGGAGTAAAACCTTCTTGCTCAGCAGGTGGAATAACTGATGCTTGCTGATGGTGAGAGGTAGCTTCTCGAACTGCAAGAGGCATAAATCTGACGGATCTGCTTTCAAGAATCTTGTGAGAGTCCTTTCTCTGTACGCGATATCCTTTGGCTGTAGTAGAGTAGCCAAGGAAAACACATTCTACACTCTTGGGGTCTATCTTACCCCGATGGCCTTTCTCAATATGAGCAAAGGCAGTACATCCGAAAACTTGTAGATTCCGCAGATCCGGCTTCTGCCCATGCCAAAGTTCGTAAGGGGTTTTGGTGGTGGGTAGAGCCTTCGATGGAGATCTGTTCTGCAAGTAAACGGCTGTATGGATGGCTTCTCCCCAATAGCCATGAGAGAGACCAGAATGTGTCAACATGGCAATAACAGAATCGATCAAAGTTCGATTCTTCCGTTCTGCTACTCCGTTTTGTTCAGGAGTATCAGGAATGGAAAACTGTCGTTGTATGCCGTGAAGTGTACAAAAATCAGTAAAAGCTCGAGATTTGTATTCAAGAGCATTATCTGATCGCAGAACCTTGATGCGCTTGTTCAGGTAATTTTCAGCCATTGCTTTGAATTCCTGAAACTTGGCAAAGGCTTCAGACTTCTGTTTTATCAAATATACATGCGTATATCGTGAAACATCATCGATGAATGTGATGAAGTACTTACAGTTCGAGAATGTTTGAGTTCTCAGAGGGCCACAAATATCCGTGTGTACTAGACCAAGAAGGTCTTTAGCACGAGTGGCTCCTTTTCTTGGGAACTTTGCTCTTGTGGACTTCCCTAGAGCACATGATGTGCAGAAAGGGAGAGTCCGAAAGGAACATTTCTCCAACCCTTCTACCATGTGATGCTGCTTCATTTGCTGAATTCGCGGAAGACTCATATGGCCGAGCTTGAGATGCCATTCGTAGGTGTCCAGTTCTTCGGTGTTGGAAGCCGAATAACAAACCTCTGCAGGAACTGCAGATGTCTTGAAAGAAGTAGTTCCAAGCCTAAACAGGTTGTTGTCATTGATGCATTCAGCAATGACGTTACCTTTCTTCCCCTTCAAGATGCATCGATCTGGTTCAATGAGTAGACTCCCTCCTTGCTGAACAAGCTGATGAATGGAAAAGAGATTCTTGTGGAGACTAGGAACGTGTAACACTTCAGGTATTAGCCGTCTATGTCCATCATTCAAAGAAATGAGGACATTACCTTTTCCCTGAATGAGTTGGCGACTATCATCGCCCAGATATACAAACTCCTTCGATGGAAGTTCAGTATATGTCACAAAAACATTTCTGTTGTATGCCATGTGTTGAGTTGCACCAGAATCTACATACCAGGCTGGATCCATCCCAATGGATGTTAGAGCAGTGACATACAGTCGTTGGTGTTCGTTTGGTGTAGAATGTGAAGAAGCATTGTCGTGTTTCTTCTTCCTGCACTCGCTGGCAAGATGACCTTTCTTCTTGCAGTAGAAACATTTCATCTTTTGCCTGGGAAAAGATGTCTTGGCAGGAGGTTCTGGTCGCGATGAAGGACCGACTCAGTGAAGTGTCTTGGATGCATCATCTTTGGCGCCCCTCCTCGTTTCTTTGCTGTGTAGAGTGCTGCCATACCTTCTGTCAACTCTTCCTCTTCTTGAAGGTGTGATTCCTCAAGAAGAACACCAGCAATAACAGATTGGGTGGTCAAATTTTGCTGTGTCCTCATGGAGCGCACAAAGGATCTATACTCAATGGGTAGACTTCGAAGGAGACAGGTGTAAGCTTCTGCCTCTGGAACGTTCTGCCCTATAGATGACAACTGGTGAAGAAGTAGACGAAACTTTGAGATATGTTTCGCTACAGACTCGCCTGACTTCATCTTGAGAGAATGCAATGAATCTCTCAAGTGCATCTGCATTGGTACATCATGGGAATCAAAAAATGCATTCAGTTCTGCCCAGGCCTCTGCAGCTGTAGAATGACGTGCGATCAATGGATGTTGATGGTCTTCCAACGAGTTACTTAACACCGCCAAGGCCATGAGATTTTTGACATCCCATTCTTGTTTACTGCCAGCGCCTGACTCTGGAGTTCTTGTTGTAGACCCCGGTGGAGTGCTTGGCCTGACTTCGACCCCTTCCATGATGTTCATTAGTCCTTCCAGTTGAAGGATTAAACTAATTTTCCCCTTCCATGCATGGAAATGTTCCCCACTGAATTTGGGGAGGGGGAGCTCTTTCCATGCGAACCGGGTTGAAACCCCAGGAGAAGTCATCTCCCTGAACTCGAACTATACTCTGTGCTGAGCTTCACATCTGCCGAAGTGAATCTTCAAAGAACAAATCTTCGAACTCTGAACTCTAAACCCTAACGCTCTGATACCATAACAGAAGTGAGGCAATACAAGAAAGAGTCGAGAGACATAGATACTGAGTACTGGAGAGCAGATCTTAGTTATGTTATACATAGGACCTGGATTGGGTTTAAGTACCCAATCCGAGGTGACAAGGGAAACTGGTATTTACACCCGCGTAGTGGGAAGGGTAGTGGTGTCTAATGATGACAAAGACACCTCAATAGTAGTGGGGTAGTGGCGTAGTGGGCTGCAGTCTAACAATGATTACACAAGAAGCAGCGTAGAAGGAATAGGGAGTAATCAGTATTCTAACAGAGATGGATCCCATCCCATGTATATTTATTCTTTTATGAGACGTATTGAAGTCTCAAATAGAAATTTCACCTGTTATATCTGCTCTGGAATAATTCATATCCTCTCTTTGTTCATCTATCCTTGCAGCTAAATAGAAGTATGGATGTTAAGTTTGACAAGTATGTGAGAGTATGATGGTTTAGGTGGCAAAAACTTATTAGAACCTAAATAAATTAGTAGAAATGTATGATTATAGCTATTATCTACTACATCCTTATACCATTACTACTTTAAAGATAAATGAATTGTACTCTAGGTTAGACATTATTGAACTAGAGTAACTTCTGATGCTGGTGGAGGTGAAGTTGAGAGGAAATAATCTAATTCAGAAGAGACGAGATTGTGAACGTTTCTCGGCACTTGTATCATCTCATCGTCGACACAGGATGTGCAGCAAAAGTGGGTCTTACGAGATGGAGTTGCAACCAAGGTCTCAAACTTGCCCTGTTGGACATGCACAAGTCAGATGATAAAAATCGTGTACCAAATCTTCAATTGTTGTCCTCCTACCAGACCAGTATATGGAGACAGAAGCTCAATTCAGAGGAAGACTTGTCGACACCAACAGGCCTTTTAAATTAGGAGTTTAGCAGGAAGCAGTTTTTCTCCTGTTTGTAGAGTAACTGCCGTACAGAGTAGTTGCGTTTACAGACTTCAATTCTCATATTTACTGCTTATTGGGTAAAACTGAATAATCCAACAGCAATTACTTATTTTCTTCACCGACTTTGAGTAACAAATTAGGAGGTTGCTTCTATCATCCGGACGAGGCTGAGTCTCTTGAGGAGATTGAATTAATATAAACAGTGGTAATTTATCTTACATTATAACATGTCTACATTGATGAATATTGTTCATTTTATAATTTACATATTTCATTTGTTAACGAAATTTATCGCAAAAAAAACAAACTATATCAATATTGATATAGTTTGTTTAAGTTTATTAGCCTTTTCTTGTAGACATGTCGGGTACTGTACTGGCTGGAAACTTTTATATACATACATATCCTACTCCTCCATAATATGCTTAATTTTGAAGAATAATTACCTATTACATTGACTACAATTTTCACGTCAATATGGGCCTTTCCCAGTCATACCTCACTACCATATAGCATAATTTGCACAATTACCAATTAGGCGAAGATAAACAGTCCCCATTTTGCTATATAAAGAAGACCTATTTTCATACTTCTAGGTAATAAACAGTATTCAAGTGAGAAGTGGGTGTAAACATTTAAAAACAACTGTATATACAGAGCGTGAATAGTGCATGTGATTGATTTCACATTGCAGCTTGTTTAATTAAAATGAATCTCATACAGTACATCGTTCATTCCCGAAGACAAAGCCGATCAGACTTTCGACGGGCAATTGACTTTCCTCATGACGACGTTGCGGGGAGCAAGTCATCTCCTATGATACACATCAACTTTACAGCATTTCACAAATTCTCCGTGCGGGGACCTTCATATCCTATTTGGAGTTTCGCGTGTCTCATTGTGCATGTCGCGCACTCGCTTTCGTTTCACGAACACCGCAGGAACCAATGAAAAGAGTCTGGAAAATATCACCACCTCTGTCTAGTTGACGTACAGTTCTGCCTTTCCGTCAATGAAAAGACTCAAGAACTCTTCTCCATCGACAGTCTCCTTCTCCAAGAGAAGAGCTGCAAGCTTGTGAAGAATATCAATGTGCGTCGTCATGAGAGTTTTCGCCCTGGTGTAAGCCCGCTCCACGAGCTCCCTCACCTCAGAATCGATGACATCAGCAGTGTGCATGGAATGGTCTGACTGTTGTCCCATCTGTACATTTACACCGAAGCCAGGTTACATTCCTTGCTGCAAATATGGTTCAAATTAGAACTATGCCATATTGAGCAAATTCCTATCACAGCTTTTTCACCCATCTTTGATGCGCACCATCAGCAAAAGCACGGTTATTCTATTACTGGTTGGATCGCTATAAACGTTCTGAATTTGTATCGCAACTTCAAATGCCAACCAACTCGCTGTTACTAACATCCTACTCCAAACATAGACCAGAAGACAAAGCGATATGACTTACCGATTGTCCCAGGAAAGGATTTCCACCAGCACCACCAACAGCCAACTGCCCGATCTTCTTGCTGAATCCAAATCTTTCAACCATTTGCCTTGCAACCCGTGACACTTGCATGAAATCGTTGGAGGCTCCAGTAGTTACGTTCTCCGCTCCAAAAATAAGTTCTTCGGCGATTCTGTAGGTTGTGAACAACACAGGTAAGTATCACGGGTGACAAAGAATAGCCTATACTCCAGAATAAAACTATGCATCCATTTCCAACATAAATTGCCTCCAAACTGTGAAAGGTTTAAAACCCACCTGCCACCAAGGGCAACAGCCATCTGGTTCTCGAGGTAAGACTTGCTGTACAGGCCTGATTCTAGCCTTTCCTCACTGGGGGCGAAGAAAGTCAGTCCACCAGCACCACCGCGAGGAACGATGGAAATCTTCGCTACGGGGTCGTACTCTGGCATAAGAGCTCCGACTAAAGCGTGTCCAGCCTCTGCAACATAAAAATATTCAGAATTTAGAACTAAGATACAAAAGCGCGTGAGTCTATGAAGCAAGACACTCCTATGGCGATTACATGGAGAGCCGTAATATAATCTGCTGCAATTGAAGCATACTGTAGGAATGCAGAGAAGAGGTATACCGTGGTACGCAACGAGCTTCCTCCTTTCCTCAGACACAACAGCGTTCTTCTTCTCGGGTCCGGCTATAATTCGCTCCAACGCATCGGCAATTTCATCCTTGCTGATCTCCTTCAACTCACGTCTGGCTGCGAGGATAGCTGCTTCGTTCATCAGATTTTGCAAATCAGCTCCGGTAAATCCTGGCGTTCTGCGCGCAATTTTCTCGAAGTCAACGTCCTTCGCCAGCGACTTGCCACGAGAGTGGACCTGCGTAAGAACATACAGAATCCGTGTGAGGCAACCATGTCGTCAAATGAATGACTGAGAGATCCAGCGGAGGCTGGGAAGGGCTTAAGGACCTGACGGAGTACTTGTGTAAAGCCTAGATCGTGAAATAGAGCCAAAAGCACAGGAACGCGAACTCCCTGTACAAATTTCGTGGGTAACTAGAGTTTACCTGCAAGATCCTCACTCGTCCAGCGACATCAGGCCTGTCGACTGTTACTTGACGATCAAAACGTCCTGGCCTCAGAAGGGCAGAATCGAGCACATCGGGTCTGTTGGTAGCAGCCAAAACAATAACTCCACTGTTCCCTCCGAACCCATCCATCTCAGTCAGAAGCTGGTTAATAGTTTGCTCTCTCTCGTCGTTTCCACCGCCCATTCCTGCTCCTCTCTGCCTACCGACGGCATCAATCTCGTCGATGAAAAGAATGCAAGGAGCCTTAGCCTTGGCCTTCTCGAACAGGTCTCGGACTCGTGAAGCTCCCACTCCGACGAACAGCTCTACAAACTCAGATGCGGCGCATGAAAAGAAGGGAACTCCAGCTTCACCGGCGACAGCTCGGGCCAGAAGAGTTTTACCAGTTCCAGGGGGACCGACCAAGAGACAACCCTTGGGGATTTTAGCTCCCAATGCCGTGTACTTGTCAGGGTTCTTCAAGAAATCGACGACCTCCTGCAGCTCTAGCTTAGCCTGGTCAGCTCCAGCGACATCTGCGAATGTCACTCCAGTCTCTGGAACCTCCTGGAATTTGGACTTCGACCTACCGAAATCCATAGGACCTCCCAAACCACCTGGGCCTCCTGGGCCACCCTGAGCACGACGGAAGAGGAAGAACAACCCTCCGAACGCAAGGATTGGGAACAAAAGGTTACCAATGATGTTAACATAGCTGTTCGTCGCATCTCCCTCCGAAACTGAAATATCTACTCCGTTCATGGCCAAGATGTCGACAAGATCAGGGTCATTGGGCAGGGTCACATTCGCTCTGCGCCCGTCCACGGCTGTCAGCTGCAATGTGGTTCCATCCTTGGCAAACCTCACCCTCTCAACCTTTCCACCTTTCACTGCGTTCAAAAACTCGCTGTACCTCCACTGAGTTCCTTCAGGAAGGTCGGACTTCTTCGGGGCAGCGACGGGAGGGGCAGCCAGAGAAGCTCCCGAGAAGGGACCGGCAGCTTGCTTCGGAGCGAGCTGCAAAGCCTCCACAGGGTTTGGTGGAGGGACAGCATCTGCTGCGAGCGCAGCCTGAGAACCCAAAGTCAGGGAAGCCAGCACTGCGGCCGTCAGCTTGTTCACCATGCCATTGGCAGAGGCGAACACCGCGGCATTCCTCTTCTTCTGCGCTGCTGAGACATCGATGCTAACCCCATTGACCAATCTCTCCCCGAAGAACGAGGCCTTCGACACCGACGGACCGGTCGAGCTCAATCCCTTGCGCCCACCTCGAACCACTTGCAACGACGAGCACGCCGGCAAAGCGGTGATTCCTACCACACTAGCCATCATCGCTCTCTGTATTTATAATCTAAAACCTTCTTCCCTTCCTCCTACGAACGAATTCCAATTCTGCAATTCCAATCACATGATCCACGAAAACTGTCACAAAATCACTCAAAGAACCCTCTCTAATCCACGGCATTCATCCCAACAAAATTCAAACTCTGTTAATTCGAAGACAGCTCGGTGACACAAAGGACATAACAAGCTCGGAAATCGCTCGAGTGCGAATACCTGACAGCAATTTCTTTTCGAGGTCGACGGGAGTGCGGGAGGAGGGGCCAATGTACAAACTAGATGCTTGCAACGGTCCGTAAGGCCTATATACAAAGGCAGGAAGAGAAGCGTTCCTGTCAGCGTGCTGGGGGGGCGGAAAGAGCCGCGGGAGGAGGAGTGTCGATGAAGAACGACATCTTGTTTCAAGGCCAAACGAAAGATATGTGGTGCAAACGATCGGCCACGTGGCGCGCCGGCAGTGGACGGATGGCCTATCCTGTGTTGGCCACGTCGCCCATTTTGCACTTCTCGCCTTCGAGGCCTTTCCACGAGTGACGATGACATGTCGCCGCAAGGGCCAAGAGAGCGAAGATCTCTCGACACGGCGAGAGCAGCAGCGCAGTTCGTCGACAGTGACGCGGATCTAGGTCGCGAATGTGGAAAAGGCGCGTGTGGCGGAACCAATCGCGAGCCGCTCTCGCCCCGCCGGCGTTGGTGTGAACGTCACGGCCCTGATGCGCGACAACCGCGACGCGGATCCGGGCCGTCGGAGAATCTGGGCTGATTCTGACCGGATGTGCTACGTGTACGGAACTGCTCTCGGCCCTACGATGATGGTCCTCGGACCTCCTACGGCACGGCCACTGCCGTGGAGCAGCCAGAGCCACCTCTAAGGGTGCTACCGGTAGACCTCGACGAGTCGCCGGTGAGGAGGTGAGGAAGGGACTCAAAGAATCAAAGGTCGGAACTGTACTTCAACACACAGTTAGATTATGATTGAAGGTCACATTCCGATTATCTTGGCCATCGTCAATTATCCGTCTACAGCTTCACTACTGTACTTACCTCGTGGAGAGTGGTGAGATCACACCAGCATTTGTCATTTCAAGATCACACATGTTCAATTGATACTATTTCTGATAAAATTAAAAGCACCAACCCCTTCGTTCATCATTTGGAATAACTGGTAAGAGACAAACTCACATGGAGTTGTTATAGAATGTTGATGTAATGATGGAATAATTGTGGACAAAGCAACATAGTTCGAAAAAAATCCCTAACTGAGATTGTAACAGCTCTCTGGACTATTAGAAGTAATCTCCTATGCAAGTTAGCTTAGTCCTCTTTTCTCAGAACTTCACGATCATGACTACATTGAACTAGAAGAACACGGTTGTCTCATAATTGTTATTATATTTATGAGATTTTCGAAACATGAGTACCGTGTCTATTAGTGTCAAGCTCTAGCCACATAATGATGCTTTAGGGTTGAATAATAATGAAAGCTTTCAACTCCTGATTTGTTTATCTAATCTTATAAGTATTATTCTAATTACTCTTTATCATTATAGGTACAATCATGATCTGAGAAAATCATTAGATATCAGAGAATTAAGCAGAGGATCGTTTCTATGTTGATAGATCGCACCATCCCATATCTTGGATTTTAAATTTCTAATACTAAATAAGTATTTTATATTTAAAATAGAATAAATATATTTTACTTCGTGATAACTCTCAGAAAGTGACTTTTTAACATAACAATTTTTCACTTGTGTCTCTTTTACCTACTTTAGAAAGTAAAAATAATAAATTATATGCTAGTCGTTTTTATGTTTATCTATACATAATGTGCATCATGATTGTCAACATTTTTTGTTACAAATTATAGCTAGCAATTAATGTGGAAATTTGTATATTAGTCTTTGTGTGCAATAAATGCTTTTTGGATTCAATTTGTGAAGATGATGTTTACAATGCTCGCAAAAATAAGATATTATAGATTGAAGTTCCATGTCTTGATTAATGTATGCAATGATTATATTAAGCATCACATTGTTGCTGTTTACAATTTTACAAATATCTATATCTTTGAAGCTAGTAATTGATATGATTCATGAAAAAAAAAATTCAAAAGAAAATAAAATTAACAGTAAAAAGAAATTACATTTCTATATTCAAAATAATGATATAATTTGCAAAAATACCAATTATTAACATAAATAATATAAATATTATGTTTTTCTAACTCAATACATAATCATTGTACGCATTTTTTTATTTCTATGAAAATTATCAAAATATATGCAATGTGAACATATGATATACGTGTATATCCATATATGAAATGAAATATTTTCAAACTATTCTATGAATCTACTTACTATAATGGTTTATAGAATAAAATTTCTTTACATATAATCAGAATTATTCACAAATTTTGAAATAATTTCATTTTCGAGTTCAGTTAAACATTTTGGTCAATTTATACTCTGATCTACTCAGACTATTGCAGGCTCTAAAGACTAGTTTATTATTGAAACTCATGCATATAAAAAAATACAACTAATAATAATAAAGTACAATCTTGGATTGAAAGCATAATATGTTTGATTTTTTTGAAATAATGCAGGAGAAAAAATGCTATATTAATTTGATTAAACTATGAAAGTCACATGATTTATAATTTCAACAAATAATAATAACTTCAATTATAAAATTTAGTTTAAAAAATTGCAAAAAGTCTTATTTAGAGAATATGCACACTCCAATACCTTGAACCATACATTGTTTTAATTTTTTTTTAATTAAATTTCTAAGAATTAAAAATGATAGAGTTTAGGGTTAGGGTTTATTCATAAAAGAGGTATACATTTCATTCTTCCTAAACAAGCAAGTGTTTTTAATATATATTACGTGAAATTGAACTGATTTCGTAATATCGTGAAATATAGATGATGAAAAAGTTAACATGACGCATATAAAATATATCACATACTTCAGAATGCTGATTACAACTTTAATTTACTTGTTACAAACAAACATGAACTCAATCAGGATGATTTTCATTTGCAGTAAATTAAAGAAAAGAAAAAATTACATTCTATATTTATATGATATAATATTAAAAAAACAAATTCACAATTCATTAAAGTAAAAGTTAATTTAAATGAAAACACATATGAAGACACGAAATATTTCCTTTTACATTGTATCAATATATATATATATATATATATATATATATATATATTCTAATAAGACTGAGTTATGTCGAACAATCTATTGAATTTCCTACATACACAAAACAAAATCAAGTTTAAAATCTTGCATTGGGATTTTGTATGATTTATATCATATATGTTACCAAAGAATAGAAAATACATTATTAGTTTTGGTTTCATTTTTATTTTAAGTTTTAAATATTCAAAAAATCAAAAATCAAAAATTTAATCAATTTAAATTTAAAACTTATAGACTTCATTGACTTGAAGAAGTATTCAAAAATTCTGTTTTAGTGATGGATTTAATGAGCATAACAATCTCTCTACCGTCAATCATAGTTTGTACGATTTAAGTCAGATTGATTGATATCTGTAATTTTCAAGAAGTAAACATTTGTCACTACTCACAACACATAGTCTTCACGATATATTCAAATATGTTATGAAAACAAATAATTTATTTATTTTAATATTTTTCATCAATTCAGTAAGACAAAATAATTTTTTTTAAAATAAGATTGAATATTCAGAAATTGAAAATTTTAAAATAAATTCATTCAAAATTTGAAAAAATTTTAATCAATTTTATTGAAAATTACTCCATTCCGTTTTTTTTTTAAATTTAATAGTTTGATCATATATGATTGATGAAAACTATAAAAAATCTCAGGATATAAAATATTTGTTTACTTTTTCACACATATGTACATATAAACACTCATGAACAAAAACTTATAGTTAAATATAAAACACCAATGTTTGTTCTTTTCTTTGTATAATTTGACTTTCAATATCAATCAAAATTCAAATGTTTAATAAATGTTTTTATGTCGTCAATTTAAATTGTAAATATTTTCAAGAAAATATGTCATTTTCGTATAAAGTAGAATTTATGAAAGTTTGAAATATATCAACAAACAAAAAATTTATTATTGAAAACAACTAATGAAAGCAATTCAACATATTGACTTAGAAGTCTATGTCTTCGCAAGTGAGTTGTATCATAAGACTGATTTTTCAATTGATTGACATGCAACTTAGAGATCTGATATTTAAAAAATTGTAGAATATATATATATATATATATTCTTATATATATTACTAATTTAATTGATTCTTTTGATTTTTTCACTCAAACATTTTATATGGAAAAAAAAATATAATAAATTTTCCATAACAGATGTATTATTACATTTTCTTTAATCAAAATTGACAATTCATTGAAAACAGGTTACAAATTTGAAATGGAAGACAAATATCATCTGTCTTTCCTGATTTCAAAAATAAAACTTATAGAATCTGATAACATCTTTAATATGATTAAATTTTTTTTCATAAAATTCAAGTAACTTTAATTAAAAATCAACTTTTAATAAGCAACAAAACTTCACTTTTGATTGAAATTTCAAATTATATGTTTTGAATTTCAATTAAATTTATAACATATATAAATTTGATCCTTTTATTAAATAATCACTAAATAAAACTAAGTGCTAATTTCAGTTAGTCAAACTTTAACAATGTAAAACATAAAAAATATTTTTTGCTTCTTTTATTTTTTTATTATATTATAAATCTTTTTGAATCAAAAAATGACATTCAAATATTTTTTAATCATTGGATCATTCTATCTTTATAGTTTTACTCATTTTTATATAGTGAAAATTTTTAAGTTCTAACACACAATAAATTTGTTGCAAGTGAATAAAATTTGTGCATACACTTTTTTATTGATAAAGTAAAATATCATAGAAAAAATTCAATGCAATCATTTAAATTAAATGTAGCTTCACTTATTTTTTCATACAATTAAAAATATGATGTAATTTTAGTCAAATATATCATCATATATTGAGACATACAATCAAAATAATAAAAGCTTCAAAAAAAAAACCTCTTTCATCGATTTGCACAACACATGCATTACAATTTTCCACTTGCATGACATTGTTGATTCCTTTTACAACTTTAACATACTCCACATTCTCCTTCAGAAATTAAACTTTTTTGCAACCATAATTATTTTGATACATGTTAAGATGTACAGTTTCAACCTTTTACTTAATTGATATTATTATTAGTACAACATATTCTGCATTTGTCTTTAGATCTGAAACTTTTCGCAACCACAATTTTGCTCGAATATGATATAAGTGTACAACATAAATGCTTACCTTGATGTTTATCCCACCTTGGTGGAAGTCTTGATTTACATAATGCAATTTACAAAAAATGGTGTGCATATGAAGGGCTAGACACTATAGAATTTAAATATAAGCTCCGATTGACTTTCATCTGAATTATGATTCTATAGTAATATTGTATTTTTTTAGTTTAAATATAAATAAATAAAAATAAATAAATAAATATATATATATATCATGTGATTTACATAAAAAGTTAATCCAGTTTTATGATGAGCATACCACACACACTATTGAATTTTAACAAATTTTTAAACATGTCAAGATTAAAATATTTCTAAACATTGAAATATAAAGAAATTAAATTTAATTGCATATGTGTAAAAAAATATTTGACTTTTTAAAATTTTGATCATTGCAAATAAATTTCTACCAGTTGAGATTTTTTTATTGAAATATTATAAATCAAATAAAAAAAGAAAAAAAATCATATGTAATTGAAGAAGTATAGTTATATTATATGAACAAATTGCATACGGAAAGAATCATATTTTGTTTGAAAATATTAGTTTTTATGTTCTTTAAGCTATCAATTGACATTTATGTTACAAAAGAATAATAAAGATTTACAATTTTTAAAATTTTTCATAATAATATTTTTAAAAATCAAAACTAAAATTTATGAATGATTATGATCGCATTCCATGTTTTGTCGTACACATTATTTGATGTGTAAATTACTTTTATTTATAATTTCATCTTGTACTAAAAAAATATAAAATACAAACAAATATATCTCATGCATACAATCTGAATTATCGAATTCTTCAAATAAGAAAAAAAAGACATCCATAATTTAATGTCAAACCACTTCATGCAAGATATGATTAACCAAATGTAGTTACACAGTCTCAAATACCTATTTGTAAATTCAGTTGAGCATTCATTTAAGAAATAACATTTGATTGCAGATATTCAGATAATATTTTGATCACAATTAGTTTATAATTATTTGTATATAAAATGATTAAAATACATTTCAAATTCAATTCTTACAACTTATACATATAAGTATAATATATTTGTGCAGATATAAATTATGATATAAGAAATGAGAACATAATACTTAGTTTGTAATTAGTTTGAGTTTAAATTATTCAATATGTAATATATGTGTGTGTTTGTATGAATGTTTGCGTATTTGGTAGTGCATATATGCATTCAATTCGAGTCTGATGCATGTAGGATCTGTTTGCAAGCAAGATTGAATTCAAAATCTTAGTTTGAAGTTAAGTAGGAAATATTTTTTTTAATATTAAATGAATATTAAAAAATTATATCATAACTATTTTATGTTGATTCAATTACATAATAATATAAAAAAGTAAATATATATCTGGTATACCATTTAAATTATTTTGTTATGCCATCGACGTATATTTTGAAGAATAGATATATTTTAAGCAAATTTTACGAGGGTTTATACAAAGATATAAAAGCTAGAATTTAATGCATTCAGTTTGTATGGAATTTATTTAATTTGGTTTGAAAATTTTTTATTTCTCAGAAAAAATTATATATTTAAACTTGTAAAATATTAAATATCATTCATACTAATTGCATCTTAATTAATAATTTATTTAAGCTAGATAAATAAATATTATAAATAAATAGATAAATAAATATTATTAGCTTAATTACTCATAAGAATACCTTTAATTTTTTATAATATTTTTACATATTTGTCACTTTAAACTTGATATATTATCATTTCATGTTTTTTTAATATCCTTTCTTTTATCAATGTCTTCTACACTTTGGATGCGATTTTCTAAGAATTATTATTTGCATATTCTGTGGTATAATTACAGATTTCATGAATTTAGTCTTTCATCATTTTGTTGTACATGTTATATATGTTTTTTCGGAGCAAATGAGATCCATTCATGTGATTTAAAAAAAGATTCCGTGTTTTTGTTTTTATCACATAAATTTTTTTGGAATTTTTTTATCTTACTTGTATTTTTTAAATAATAATAATACATCACTGGTACTTATCAGTTGTGATTGAGTAGAATATGAAATTGTATGTGATGATACTAGCGAAAATTCAGATATTTTTTTCTGACAGTTCTTCACCTAAAGCTAGTGCAGTTGCCGTTAGATATCTCACTTCACTCAATAAAGACATACTAGTAATAATGTGAGATGCATTTTCTCTTCATTTCATTTGTTAAAATATTTGGTGTTTATCTTTGGGTAATTTCGAGTTATTAGTAAGTCTCGTACTCTTTCTTTCTGCTGAAGTAGAATAAGAACTTGACATTAACTTGAGCTATATATTCATCCACACAAAGAGTGTGCAATTTTGAGCCAGATCAAACATCTCATGCTAGATGGATCAAATATAAAATTGTGAAGAGAAAGAAGACATTAAACTATATAACCATTGGGAAAGAAGGAAAATTGTGTTCGTTAGATGTAGAATGAGTACTGCATAGTGTGTCATTTTAATCTTTACTTCAAAGAGAACCTCACATCCACAGCCGATCGCACTTTATGCAAAGGACTACATTCCATATCTCAGAGACAGGAGTGAGTTCGTCAACAATAATCGCCGCGCTATGTGCAAACATTGTCACAAAATCATTTGGTTGGCCGTTCTTGAAATTCGAAAGTATCTTAAAAAAAAGCCACTACGTCAATTAGCCGAAGTTCGGAGCTTCCCGAATTATTATATGGATTGTGAAGTATATCGCAGCCGTGGGAGGAAGTCCCCGGACCCAGCTTTACGAAGAAGAAAGCAGGGGAGAAGGCGATGGGAAAAGATAGGAAATGCAAAGCAGATAAGGACCCGAGGACGTGTTTGCAGACGGGATGTGGAAAAAGCTGGCCGAGGTCGCACCATGGCCAGCGAAAGGGAAAGAGAAAGATGTGATTTGGCATCTGAAGAAGCAGATGGCTAATAAAGGAGAAGGGGATGGTGACCGAAGAGGAAAGGGAAGACCTGGACGCCAATAATGTGAGAGTAGGTTGGGATTTGGCCAGGATGGTATGATGAGTGCATGGGGCGACGATGATGCACATGGTGTCAGGTATGGGCGGATGGATGGAGCACATGGGCCTCATGGCGCGACGATGGATGTTGCGTGGCGTGCAGGCATGATGCATGGATGGATGGGGATGCATGCAGCCGGCGTCATTCAAGTAATTCGAGGGCATGTGCAGCGCATGCACGCGCAGCGATGAAGAGCTCGCCGTGCCTTGCAGCATCGGGGTTTCCATCGACAATGGATCGACAAACCGTTCGAATCCGGGGAAGATTTGCGCTTACAGCCGTCGTCGACGACGCCCTATGAGTTGCCATCCATGACGTACGCCGCGGTCGCACGCTTCATCCCTCAGCGCTCGCGGGGTTTTGCCGACCTGTCACCCACCCTTTTGCCCGTCGTTTTCCCGTCCCCTGCGACGAGATTTTGAGGTTCGGGTGCACGGATAATGCATTGCGAATTTGCGTGATGTCGCACGGCTCTTTCACGTGCTGGCTACCTTCCGCCTGACCGATGTCGGCCAGCAGCATGGGTTGATCTTCGGCACCCCCGTTGAAATTTTGGCGCTCGGAGTGAGTTAGTTACAGGGCCGCTTTATTTCTATCTTGGAAAAGCTTCGGGATTGGGCTCCCGGGCTCCGCTGGGGATCATTAATGACGCGCGGAATCTTCTCAGATTTCTGGAGTCGTAGCCGTTATTTGAATTCCGTCCGACGCGAATTTCTATTTCTTCTTTGAACTTTAGGTTTTCCGGGGCGCTCAGTCGAGGTGGGTGACAGTATGCGCGGAATTATGTGCGCATGTTGGCAGAGTGTTCCTTGCGCGAGCGACAAAGTTTCCGAACGCTTTCCGCGCGCCTCGTAGTTCGTCCGGAGGATTTCTCGAGCCAGGCCTCGAGGATTGATGAGATAATTTCCGGACGAAGGCTGGATGGTCATGCAATTAGGGGTTTAACGGGGAGGAAGTGGTGCAACATCCGCTGTGTCATTCCTGAAGGTCTTGATTATTTGTGACGGAAAAATTATGGCAGCTGTTTCAGACTCTTGCGGGAGCTCGAGGTGTGTCTGGTCTATTTTGTAAATTTTAGCTTGCCGTTTTTCATCCCTCGTGTTTCTGTTCACCTCTTCTAGCTCGTCTCAATTTCTTTCTATGGAGTACGAGGGCAAATCTGGCAGCAATGTCAGTTCTTGATCTGGTGTTGTGCGTTCGCGTTCTGGGCTCGGATTTCCTAGTTTGTTTTCTCATCTCGTTGTGCTAGCTGTCCCAGTCTGTTTTTTGTGAGCCTTATGTCACCCTGAACTGAGCAGCTTCTCCAGGAATAACTCGTAGCTTCTGTTAATGTTCCAGTTTGTGAGAGATAACATGACTGCAGTATCGATGCACATGCCGAGCATGGCTCCTCCAGGCCCTCCTCCTTCGCAAGCTCTAAGACCTGCGAGTCCAGGGAATGCGTATCAACATCCAGCACTTTCTGGTCCCAACCACATGCAGACGGTTGCGGCTTCCGGTGTTGGACAAGGGTCTGCCTCCAATCTCTCCCTTGCCCTTCCGCTCTCAAACAATCAAGGCGCTTCGAATGTCTTGATGAATTCTTCGAACTCGACTGCAATGACGAACTCCTCCGACGGCTCAATGTCCCTCACAAGAGTAAAACTTGCCGACATGCTTCCTGAAGACGGAGCTCCATCTGGGGTGTATACCCGCACTGTTGAGAATCTTTCAACTTCTCTCGTCAGGCATAATGCAGCAGTTATCGAGCTGAACGGGGAAGATGCAGCGCTTGTTCGGTGTGCTTTGGAGTCCGCCAAGTTGTACTTTCGAAGCAGGGGTGGATCTGGAGGACAGGTTCAATCATGGGGTGGGCCCGATTGGACAAAGTCCAGTGGATATGTCGCTGCACCATCTCGAGATCTTTATCTGTATCGAGCAGGCAATACGGGCAGGTGCGTCAAATTCGAATTCTGTGTTGTCACATGGTGGACTTTCGCTTCTAAGAATTAGTGGTTGTGCGGGTAGTCATGCGCTACCGGCAAGGGTGCGCATAGCAATACTTTTTTGCTGTTTCGATCACGGTCGGTTCTGTGACTAAGATGATAATTGCAAGGCCACTGTACATCAGTAAACCGTAGACAGATACAGCGGCACCTTTTTCCGTAGAAAGTTGTCTCCTCGTTGTCAGTGGGGTTCCCGCACAATTTCGACGTTTAGTAACAGTTGCTCGTGGACAATGGGGCAGATCTAACTTTGACGACGTCGAGCCTCCACCGCCAGTTATGCCGGAAGTCTTTCGATGTCTTGGAAAAGCTTCGAGAGCATCTCTCAGTGCGATCGCCCGGCAGCTTCGTCTTCGCGGCGAGTATGTGGCATCTGGCTTGATCCCTTAAACCCTGACGCTTGAATTCTTAAAGATGAAGTTGGAATTTCGACACCGGGTTGGATCGGGAACGAATAAAGACTGAAAGAAGCACTCCTCAGCTAACTTTACGTGTTCGGCAGTGTGTTTGGATCCATGTTGGACGACTCCCCGTTGCCATCGGGAGAAGTATCGTCCTCTGTTCTCACAGCGACGTCATTTCATCCCACCGGAGGGAGCGGAAAGTCGGTCATCCCCGCAGACGCAAGTATGGGTCAGGAAGTGGAGAAGGGATTGCTCATGCTAATTGCTACCGATACCCCTGGTTTGCAGGTATATTATTCACATCCCGTTTACTTCAATTTTATGGACATGTGATCTGCTTGTAACCTAGATGTCCTGATTGGGTGGAAACTGTTCTCCGTTGCGCCATCCGCTCTCTCACGTCATTCCGAGGTTGGCGTTGGTCTGCGGCTTGAAGATAAAGTTTTTCTGAGCAATTCGCGTGGATGGGTCGTGCTTTCATGATGATGTACATATGATAGCTCCTAAAGGATGGGCAGCTTGATATCATCGCGTATCTTCCTAGTGAAATGACGCTGAAGGCATCGCCTCATGATGTGGGCGAGCTTCGCCGTGATTTTTCGAGGAAACCGTAGCAACAGAGAAGGGATGGATGATGGATGTCACATGATGTGCATGTCACATTGATCATGTCATGTCTTCTCGTCGAGGTCTCAATGTTTCCATCATGATGTTTCAGACATGCCTCACATACGCTAGATAAATCTGGAGACTGCCAGTCACTCGCTCACGTCATGTCATGTCTCCTGTACATTCATACTGCTGCCAAAAGATTGCAACTCAGTTGTTGATGTGAAAGCAAACAGTATTTCGAACATAGAATCTTGGCTACATACATGTCCCGCCATGTCTCGTCTATCATGCGCTACATCGAGAAGTATTACTTTGATTCTAGTTTGTATTACTATGTAAACTCTTTTGTCATGTATGATCGAGAACGCTACAGCTCTGAATGAGAGAAAGGAAGGATTGTAAATTTGCAAAACCTAAAGTAATCTAGCTCAACTGAGTATGTCAACACCTTCTAGGAGGTACAAGGGCGCTCTACATCATCATCAACACTAGCGTAGCTTGATTGCGTTTTTCCATTACTGGAATCTGAGAGTAGATTGTGGTTGCGCCTCGCAGCTCGCCTTGATGAGTGGTTACTATGTTGCCCTGCGTCTGTATTTTTGCTGTGCTATTTTTGTTTCAATCTGTGGGATTATTTAAGCCATTTATGGGATACTGTCTAGATATTTTGCCGTGTAAGGCATGTGGAATTGTATATCTCAGGTAGGTGTGAAACATTTCACTTCTACAGGTGTGTGATCCAACTGGACGCTGGTTCCTGGCAGACAACGGAGTGGGTCCAGGAGATCTGATCCTACTCACAGGGAAAGCGCTTCAGCAAGCGACTGCTGGAATCAGAAAAGCTTCTACTTATCGTGTGGTTCCCCTTCCTCCGAATCACGCTCCAGGTTCTGCAGGGAGGTGAGGGAGGCAATCACACCAAATCTACATATTTACTTTATGCAGTCGAGTTTTTGTTTACATCATGGCTTGCTCTGAAATTATAACTTGTGTTGGAGATGATTCATGATTTCCGTTGCTTCTGAGTAATGCCTTCACAGCGAGTAATTGCATTACTGACCTTAAAACAAACGTTTGTCTCTCTGCGCTCGCACCATTGGGAGGAGTATTCTTTTGCACATGCTGGAATATCTTTCTCTCATAACGTGAGGATGGATTCGCAGAGAACCATTCTTGTTTGTAGAGATGCTTTATCTTGAGAGAAGAGACCACTCTGAGAAACCTATGTATGCGTTTTAGTGAATCATTATATCAGATGCTCCAATATCTTGTAATTGCTCCAATGATGGCCGAAACGCCTATTTATCGTATGTACTGTACATGTGGTAATTGGTAGACGCAGTGAGTCTAAGCTACGTACGTCCCTGACGCTACCGTATTTGCGAAAAAATGTTGTTCAAGTGGATGGACAGCGGTGGTGCCTGGTTGCACGTCACTTCCCTTCGACTTTCATGTGTGTTTGTTACGTCCAGCTGAAATGGTTTTACTTCCTCCTTTCCTCTGCTCTCTTGCCTCAGTTGGACCAAGGTCGATGATTGATTTTTTTTACATGCTGCATGTTTAAGCATGCTGCATTTTCTGCAGGTTAGACTTTTGTAGTCTCTAATCTCAAGACAGAACTCGGATTGAGTGCCAGTTTCTGTTGTTGACCTGTTATCACTAAAATTCTGTCCCATGTAGAATGTGGAGGGTCACAGATGTAGTACAAATGTATGGGACCCGTTCCGATCCTGTTAGTAAATTCTCGAGTTTTCATTTTGGTTGACGTAGTCCGTCAATTCCTGTCAGTATGAGTTTCGGCCACTTTGAATAGAATGCTTAGCGTCGGTTTGCCATCCACATATTCTCCTGTTACAGTCTTAGAGCTACTTTACATGCGCCGATGGTTGTTGTCGTGAACTCACACTGAACTAGCTTTAGCATGGAAATTGTTAATACATGCAAAAGACGCAGGACTTTACCTTTTGAAAATCTTTTCCGACTTTCCCATCGGAAGTAGCTCCTACTCTATCTTAGAAGCTTGATAAGTTTGAACTGGTCAGTTTGACTTTCTGCTGTAAGAAGTCATTTGCATGTCACAGGAGTACATCCTTACCATCTGCAAGATCCTGAGAGTACTCCGGTTGTATGAGAAGTTGATGTAGTGCGTTCAGTGCCTCATATATGACATCCTTTTGTTATAAAGCATTCCGTTCACTGAGATGTTGGGATCTCTGTATGGGAATTACTCTCGTTTGGGTTGGACCTTCGCTTTGTAGTCCGTTCCGCAGACTACAGATTGAAAGTCCAGTGAAAAGGAGAGAAAAAGACCTCAGTCGGCGTTGAGAGAAGGGTGACAAATCTGCCTCACCATATGTCCTAGTATTTCACCGGAAGCCCTTTAGTCAACAGTAACAAGCCTAGTAAATGGTTATAATTGAGTTGCGATTATTATCTTGCGTGGGAATGAACTGGTGAAGGGTGTCATGTGACAACACGTACATGACACCCTTTACGTGTTGTCACAGTTGACCTCCTTGTGAAGCTCTGAATTCTGTGGTTGGTCCTGGTCGTCGTATTCTCACAGTTGCTTGTTACTTAGTTCAGTTTGAGCTCCATGATTAAGCGCTTACCTTTCGCAGTTTTGCCTTCTCTTCAGGACTTCACTTGCCTTCCGGTTGATGCCACGCAGTAATGCAACAATCGATTGCACTCCAATGCAAGAAGCCGGACATTCTGTAGCTGATAGCTACGTACCCATATTAGTTTCAACATTTATGGACAACCTGTCGGCGGCGGAAGCTCTCAACAGCAATGGGTCTGAAAATAGTCTTGTACGGTCAAGCTACCTTATCATGACCCGTTCATTTTTGGATCAGTTAAAACGCCTCAATTTTGGATATCAATAACAATGCCTCAGTTCTTACTAGGCCTGGTTATTGCTGGTCAGTGGGTCTATTCGGGCACACGTGCATCCAGAATATGCGCAGTTTATTGCAGTCACGGCTCGTTGATTGGATTGGTCGCTTATCATGTTACTGTTTGCTGATTTCAAGTTTATACCGGTTGCAGGAAACAATGAATGCAAGTTCAGAGCCGTCTCTGAGATCCTGCTTAACTGATCCTATCAGGTAAATCAGCTGTTCACACTCAGATATATCGCGAGTAAAGACCAGAAAATTAATTACAACTTTGAAAGGTGTATTGTGGAGACGTTGCTTGTCTGTTTTTTGTGATGCTGAGTCTCGTCTTGGAATTATTTGGATTTCCCTATCCATGTTATCGGTGGAAGCTTCTCCTTTTATATATCAATGGGAGCTTGCTAAGTAGCGTGAACGAAGAGGTAATCCGAGACTCATAAGATTCTTTTGCTTCAGTGGTCAGTTCTTGGAGGATGCCATGGTCGCTCAGTGTGGGCATACTTATGGAGGGCTGACACTGAAGAGAGTCTACGAAACAGTAAGTTTTTTGACTTCATATGTATTCCTGTGATCAGACAACGGAAACTGATGCTAAAATGAACTGTTTTGTGACCATGCGCACGTACTCTTTAGATAACATCCCAGTCCGCTGGACGATATTCTTTTAACTAAGAATGGTATGTACCTCATATATGTTAACGCCAATTTATAATCGCATTTGACGTCCCACAACTAACAGCTGATGACGTCTACATTGCAGTACATTTTGTCATACCAACCTGTCAATCGAGAATGTTCTTTTGACGTGATGCTCCACATAAAGAGAGACTGATTTATTTCTTTTGTGATGCAGCTAACATGTAATTCATGTAATGCAACGGTGGAAGGGAGTTCCCTGATTCCTAATATTGGTAGGACTTCTTTTCATTTGTCAAGTTTAAGCTCCGATCACTTGTATCATGTCTCAGCTATTTGCAGAATAAAAGTAGCTGAAGTTGAGTTTCTCGGTTTCTTATGACATTGCCGTGCCCATCGAAAAATGCCTTCTATATATGCCCATATTTCAGCTGACGTCCTTGCAGGATAACTGTCTAGCTGATATGATTGTTGATGTATGGTGTTGCAGCCCTAAGAGAAGCTGCCAAGGCTTACAAGCGCGAATTGCAGTTTAGAAATCCGGCTTCGTTGAAGAACGTTAAGCGGAGGAGAGAATTTGTGGATCAAGCAGATCAAGCCAGATCAAAAAGGCCGAACAAGGTTGGTTATACAGTGGACGGTTTTTGGATCAAGAAGCTGAAAGGAAGATCAAATTAATTAATGACTTTTTTGCCGGTTTTTGCCGGTAGTTGCTGCTGCTTCGTACTTTTATCCAACCAATATTTTCAATGAGAAAGAGTGGACCGTGATAGTTTTTTGTGGAGTCTTATCATACTGTATTGATATGGCAGGACCATCCTAGTTCACCAACAGAGAAGGAAAATGTTCCCCGCGTTGGGGGTGGGAAAGGGGTACAATATCCTTTTTCTGTCAACGAGAAAGTAATGATTAAGGTAAATAAATCACATTCCTGTTTTAACGGATGTCTGGACATGCAATGGCTTTATCTGAAACCTAAATATGTTATTATCTGTGCGATCTTGTTGGCAGGGAAACAAGAGGACGCCGGAAAAGTTCGTCGGAAGGGAGGCACACATAACTTCCCAATGCTTAAATGGATGGTACAGCTCTGAGGATTTTCCTGAAAAAGAGAGTTCTATTGATTTCTACCCGTTATAATGGGGAAAAAAACGCTACTGACTTGTATTTGCCCACTGTAGCCTGAAGACCCGAGCGGTGCTTCTTGAGAGTTATAAGATCTGACTTATATTTTTCTACTACAGACGTGATGGTATTCTTTTGAAGCATGACCATAAACGATGGAATGAAAATCTTGGAAACCTGCAAAGGATGTGCGATTTGACCCACTTTTACAGGTAAAAGTGGGTCAGACTTTTACAACCTTTGAACAGGGGTCAAGTGGGACTTTTAAAGGTTCATGGACGAGCTACGTGCAAAAATCTGCGGATTGATTGTTGCATGCTAAGCCCGTGCAGCTCATCATTTGCTACTTATATTTGTTCTATTGCTGGAACAACCTAATACTTGCGGACTTTTGACGATTGTTTTGCTGTAACTTTTATAAGTTTTGTTTCACTCTGTGCCCTTGCTTGTGCACATTCCTCGATATGTTCATAGTACATCCATTGCTTGCGTCGTGTAACCCTTCCTTCCAGTTCCCTTGACTATACATGCTTTTCAGTCTACAGAGTTAAACCTCCCAGCAGTGTCAACTCTTATGAGTGACATCCTGTCATTAGTCACCTACAATTCCAGAACCATTAGTTTGTAAATTGTAAATCTGCTCAATAAGAACAGTACGTCACTATTGGCAATAGTGACATGATACTACCCAATAGTGACAGTTTCAAGTGCAATCTCGGAAGTAAAATCCCTATCATGATCACAATACACAGCTGTGAGAAAGAAGAATGTGAAATACATTTATTTAAAGGTCTATCGCAACAATTCACTCTTCCTGGGCTTCAATAAAATACTTTGGTAAGTGACACCTCCCAATAGTGACATCCAACTTTAACACCAATGTATGTCACTATTGGGAGGTTATACTCAAGGTAAGGCACCTCCCAATATTGACATCCAACCCTAACACCAATGTATGTTACTCTTGGGAGTTTATACTCAAGGTTACACACTTTACTCTTGTGAGTGACACCTCCCAATAATGTCGTAAACCCCTGGCACCAATGTATGTCACTATTGGGAGGTTTAACTCTGTATTCTCTTTTACTGTTTTGTTTCTTCTTTTTTCCACTACTGTGCTAGCAGGTTGCTGGGTCCGTAAGAAATAGAAAGAACCTTGGAGGCCAAATTTGTATTTAATAGTTGAAAGGAAAACATTCAACGGGCGCTGAGGAAGCAAGTAGAGAGCGGTGGTCTATCTATGCTTTCCGCTTAACGGATCGTAATATCCCACAGAAATTTGCTTGATGGAACCCCTTGGAAACTCAAACCGCTTGAAGGGACCCAACAGTTTTCAATTCACCCGATGGGACCCCATTCGACGTCCACCGTCAGCCATGTTTTAATGTTGTGAGGGCAAACTGTTCCTGGTTCAGTCTTCAGAGCAAGCTAGCGGTAGCCGGATGGCACAGAGGGCGTGTAATGCGATTTGACCACCGGTACAATCATAGTACTGATATGAAAGGCCAAAGCTCGAAGTATATATACGACTCACCGTCAGCCAGGTTTTAATGTTGTGAGGGCAAACTGTTCCTGGTTCAGTCTTCAGAGCAAGCTAGCGGTAGCCGGATGGCACAGAGGGCGTGTAATGCGATTTGACCACCGGTACAATCATAGTACTGATATGAAAGGCCAAAGCTCGAAGTATATATACGACTCCCGAGTTTAATTCGAGAGGCAGCGCGTTTGTTTTAATAACCGTCAGCCATGTTTTAATAACCTACTGATTTGCTCTATAGAGTGGGAGCGTCCACCACTGTTGGGCCAGAGCGACTCCTTCGCAGTGCGAATGAGTCGCCATGTCTAAGAAAACGGGCCGTGAGTTCTTTGACATGGCTGCGAACTTCGCAGCCATGACAACGACGAGCACCATGAGTCTGGACCGTGATTTCATTTTTCTACTCGAAATAACCCCGGATAGTACTGGAACATCACTAACGGTGGGGCTGCAGGGCCGTAGATGGGGTCCCATCGGGTAAAATGAAACCTGTTGGGTCCCATCAAGAGTTTTGAGCTTCCCCGGGGTCCCATCAAGCAAATTTCTTTTATATCTCATTATGCGTTGGTTGATTTGTCCATACAGCACTGCACCTCCTGCTCTGTTTTGATCACTACAATTCTCAGTTATGCCGTTGGTGTTTCTTACTCTTCGATTTCGCTGAAGTCTCCTTCTTTTTGTTTTAATACTTCTCTACTTCGTTTTTTTATGCATGTACAGTATAAACTCGGTTAAGTCCGCACTTTGATCCGAGAAGGTTTGTGCGGACTTATCTGGGATGCGGACTTTAGTTATATCTCATCTTGTGACTTCAATCTTTCCGCGGTATTTCTATGTTAACTATCCTCAAAAGGTATTAATAACGAGAAAAGCCTCGGACAACATTCCAATGATTTTCCAGACGTAGTGATACTTCGTACCACCCTTCACTTCATCCCAAAAAACTATTAACCCTGTGGTTAGAGGTTAACATTGACATAACTAATAGTCCTTGTATTGCAATCTGACCATGAAACCAATGCCTTTCTCTAGCTAATGGTTTTGTCTTGATTTTATCATGTCCTCGGTTGGGAGATAAATCAGCTTGACCAAGCTATTCGCGGCTAGGTCCCTGACAAAGTGATATCTGATATCGATATGTTTAGATCTCCCGTGATTCTTCTGGTTCACAATTTGTGCAATGGCACTTTGATTGTCGCAGAATATGGTTGTCGACTCCATCTGGAAACCTAGATCTTTCAATAATTCTCTTATCCATATAGCTTCAGCTCCAGCTTTGGACAAAGCCATATATTCTGCTTCCGTGGATGAAAGTGCTACCGACTTTTGTTTCTTTGATGTCCAACTAATGGTTCCACCATTGAATTGGAAACAATACCCAAAAGTAGATCGTCTCGTGTCAAGGCAATCTCCCCAGTCCGCGTCAGAATATCCAGTTAAACCGGATGGTTTATCAACCCTTGTAAACACAAGGCCAAAGTCGAGAGTCCCTTTCAGGTATCTGAAAATCCTTTTTACTGCCTTCCAGTGCATTAATCCGGGATTTGACATAAAGTGAGCTACTGAGCTAACAGCATAAGATATGTCAGGTCTAGTACAGACCATTGCCCACATCAAGCTTCCTACAGCAGCTTGATACGGTATATCTATCATCTCTTGACTTTCTCCCACTGAATTGGGAAAGTCAAGCACACTTAGCTTCAAACCGGGTTCCATTGGTGTATCAATAGGCTTACAGTCAGCCATGTTCAACCTCGCAAGGTTTTCAACCAAATATCGTGGTTGGGAGATCCGAATCCACCCTTCTTCACGATTTCTGTTTACTTGCATACCAAGACACTGATGGATCTCTTCTAAGTCCACCATATCGAACTCCGTTTTGAGTTTCTTCTTGATCTTTGTAAGAAGATCCAAGGAATTACTTGCCAGTATACAGTCGTCCACATATAGTGCTAAATACAAAAATGCTTTCTCCTGAGAGTATATGTAAACATTCTGATCTCCATTTGCTCTGGTGAAAGCAATCTGCAGTAAGAACGAGTCAATCCTTTTGATACCACTGTCGTGATGATTGCTTCAGTCCATAAATGGACTTGTTCAGTTTACATACCATGTTTCTCTCAGAAGAGATATTCAACCCTTCAGGGAGGGCCATGTAGACTTCTTCATCTAACAGTACATTCAAGAATGCAGTCTTCACATCCATCTGGTGCAGCTCTAAGTTGTTTTGAGCTGCTAGAGCCAATAACACCCGAATAGATGTCATCTTCACCACAGGAGAAAATGTCACCGAAAAGTCGACACCGTAAACCTGTGAGTATCCTTTCGCTACTAACCTTGCCTTATAGCGATCCACAGAACCGTCTGGCTTGTATTTGATTTTGAAAACCCATCTGCAACCGACGACGTTCTTGCCCGCAGGTAATTCTGTCAGCGTCCATGTCTGATTTTTCTTCAAAGAAGAAAATTCGTCTTCCATTGCTTCTTTCCATTTGACAGAATCTCCACCCTGTTAGGCTTCTTGATAGGTGGTCAGCTCTTTGCGAGTCTCTTGATATGAAACTAAACCTCTTTGCTTCTTCTTCCTCGTTTCCAACAATTGGTCATATTTTTCGACTCTTTTCCTAACTGTAGAGATTGATATGAGTGAAGCCCTATCAAGAAGGAAACTGGGCTCGAGATGCATGGAATAGGAATAGGAACTAGGACGAAAACCAGTAAACTTAGATACAAGCAGTTATTAAAAGATCCAACCTTAGGGCCAAAAAGGAGAGAGAGCTAATCTCTAGGGAGAAACCACCCTGTTGCCTCATACATGCAAACATTCGTTTCAAGTTATAACAATTTTTTAGCATCACCTTCAATCAAAAGTTTTGACTTCTGCTGATAATAAAACTCTAGAATTTTGATCCTTGAAATTTCGTCTGAAAATTGCGGACTTAGGCGGAATGCGGATTTATATGGGTGCGGACTTAAGTGAGTGTATACTGTACTCTGGACTGGTCGTTTTCTGCACTTCTGCTCTCATTTTGCATAATAATAACTCTGAACTCGTGGTTAATGAATCCTCGTGATCAAAGCAGGCTTGGTATCCGATTCACTGTCGTTGGGTTCGACAGGCCACTTGAAACTTTGTGAAATTGATGTTTTATGAGTTAGAAAGGCGGGCACTTTGTTTCACTCTGTCCGTTCATTGTATCTATAAACATCATCCTGTGGGTTTTCAGGCAATCTATGAGCTGAGATTCTGTAAATTTATACTTCATACTGTTAATATGAGTACCACCTCTGTTATTGACTTTGCAAACTTTTATGGTGAGGTTTATTACTGAAATACGGAACACTTTAGAAATTGGTGCCGACATCCCTATGTCTATGGCCTTAAGGCTGTGACAGCCAAATTCTAAGTAGTGAAGTTAAATATTAGTAAATGACGAGGTAGGGTAGTTAGTCAATGGTTCGTTACATAAACGGACAACCTGTGGAATGAAATACAAGTCTTATGTCTAATATCTTGCATAATCTGCTGGACAGGTACTTATTGAAAACGCTAGATAATGGTGAAAGTGTCCGCCTCCAGTATCGATCGCTGCAGAAGACAACTGGCGATCATAATGGCGTGATTGAGGAGAGTAGAGTGCACGGAACACACCAGTGAGCTCACCCTACTCTCGTGAGAACACGTTTGGAATTCTACGAATGCGCATTCCTAGACAGACGGTTCGAGCAAGTCTTGACCTGTAGTGTTTTGAAAATCTCGCACACTGTCTCTTGGAGGACTGTAGGAACTTTTGAAGATGGTCCGGTATATGCACCAATTCAGGTTGTAAATATGAGGTAAATTTTACGGTGTTTTGTTGGTCTCTGTGGACGTCAGCTTGCATGGCCATTTTGGAACGCAGAGATCAAACTATACTATGGCTGTACACATCATAGCAGGTTGACACAGTTAACACTTTGTAGGTTGTTCTTATAAGACCGTGCCTACCTCAGCAGCCTTAGCAGTTAGCAGAGATATAGGCTACCGCACAGGACAATTTGGGGTCTCATGCTATTGAACCCTATCCTGTAGAGGTACTATAGAAAGGAGGCTCAATTGTCGATTTTAGGGTTTGTAGTCCGGCTAAGCATGTAAGTAGCTAGGAAATTCTCAGTGGTCCTCCACACATCACCTGAGCTATTTTTTGGAGAACGTCTGACACCAATCTTATGGAGGAAGAGAAACGTAGAGTAGGATTCTCTACCTTGGGCCTACACTGTACTTGAAATGTGCGCATGTAGATTAGCGGGTCATTGTAGTTGGCATGTCTGTAATTGCTGACTCACCAAGAAGTGATGAGCGTTCATGACTTCTGGCTTTGAGTTCAGCTTGTCAAGTAAGGCTTTGCACATGTCGACCACGAGCAGGGACAATAAATGTGAACAAGGTATTCCTTGTGTAGTGATGTCCCGTTCATGTATGCTTCATGGTTTTGAATGACTGACAGACACATGATGTATGTTTAGCGCCATGATCTTAACTTCAAAATTTGATTGGTCTTTGTAATTATTATCCCTAGAGCAGTTTTGGTGATTACAATAATTTCTCATCATCGAAGTATAGAAATGGCCAACTATCGAGTAGAACTCCAATTTGTTTTAAAGCTTACATTGTGGAACTCAACGGTCTCTCGTATCTTATTCTGTCATCTCATTCGTGTTGTGAAAGTTTTTTTATATCTTCTAAGTTTTTCTGCGAGCTTCGATCACCTTGTAATTGATCTCGATCAATTACAAGGTGATCGAAGTTTGAGCTCTTCTCTGCGTTTGTCTGATGTCATATCCGGTGTGCTTGTGTACATCCGATGAGGAAAACCGCTGATGATGGGAGACCTAGGTACCCCTAGAATGCTCTCCAGTGCAATAGAGCACACGGGTAAAGGTCTTCACATTATGGTACAGATGTTTTTCCGGGTGGCAAACCTGATACCAGAGGTTTCTTAACTACATGGTTTAAGTACAACGCGCAACATCAGTTGCTCAGAGTCAGAACCGTATAGCTGCCTTATTGTTGCTGATTTGTTTCAGAGTACGTCCAGCTCGTTGTGAAAACTTTTGTTGTTATTATAAGTTTATAGATTTCTTTCTATCTCTTGCCAAACTGTTAACGCTATATCCTGCTTTAGGTCTCTATCTAACCTTGCTCAAAGCACACGTTGGTTTTGAATGCTCTCTACTGAATCTCATCCATATTTGATGCAGCGCCTACCACGTAAGCAGGGTCACTGTATTTTAGTACAGCAGCGAGGCCTCGAATTATTGAAGATGGGTTCATCTCGACATGACCTCGACCATATCGTGCACAAGAACGTGTGTGGGAAAATTTTGGGGTGGGTTTCCTCACTTGTAGAGATGAGAAGACGTGTTTGGGCAGGGTCCGTTTTGTGGGAGAACGCTTGGAAAGGAGAGTCTTCACTAGCACGCCAAACTTTGTGTGCCAGTTGCTTTGGCTTTTGTGAAAATGTCACCAAAGAAGATTGGGAAAAATGCTTAGGGAGAAAGAAAGTCTTCAATGGTCGGGATAGTGATGGTCATGGATAAATGAGTACACCAGAATGATTATTCGAAGTTTACGGTTTGGATTGTGTGATAAGTGGGAGTTGAGTTTTCGCACTTAAGAATGATGGTACGAGTCTAAATGTCCGCACACTCGCGTCATATTCATACAGTTCCACGGTTCTGCACTGTGCGATGCATCTTCGTAATACTGTGATTGCTAGTGGCAGTCTTTCACGCGATGCGTTGGTTCAGCGCTGTCCGTCATGGCTAGTCTGATGTGGCAGCTGTGAAGCCACGCATGTCTAGCAAGTCAGTTCTTTTCTTCCTCATTCGACTTGTGATACCCGTCTGGAGTTCGAGATTCCGTCGGCAGCGATCAGTGGCATGCAATGACACACAGAAAAGGTTGTTTTTTCCTTTTCGTTCTTTACGTCTAAACCCGTGCAGCAGCTTTAAGAGCAAAACATGCGGCAATTTCGTGTTACGGATTATTCTGTTCTTTAGATCAGTAGAGCACCAAGCAATGCATGCACGGAATAGGCACTGTCCTCGTGCGCCAATGACGTTTTCGGTAACTCCCTCGCACAACTGAATGCTTGCATCTAGTTTTCAGATGAAAGGAATTTCCAAAATTATAGCTACTTGGAAATCTTTGAAGTTGTTGGGATCTTAGAGTCAATAGAATCTAGGACGCTTGGACGCTTTGGACGTCTGGAAGATAGAACGAAACGTTGGCGACGAACGAAACATGGCACAAGAGCAGCAACTGCAGTGAACCTTAAACCACAAGGTATGAAAGTGTCTCTATACCATTCGCAATATTCTAATTCAAACCCACTGTGATGAACCTGTGTAGCTCCGCAGGAGCGAACGGCCGGCCATTCACCTGTACGAAGACGTAAGCGTCCCACGCCAAGCTGTCAGATTCGGCTGAAAAGAGATTGCCGTGTGCGGTCCAATTCGGCAACCACGAGGCATCAAATCTTCCGACTTTCAGACATGTCGTGCGGAAGCAGAACAGTCTGAGCGCGGAGGCCAATGAACAGCATCTGACCCAAATGCCGTTGCCCTAACTTGGTCCTTTCCCAATGCAGCATGACCATCAATGTCTGTCGATAAATTCAGCGATGGATTGCCCGACATTGCAAACAAACCAGAAGATTTACGACGACGGACATCACGCAGAAAAGTATGCTTCGTTGTCAGATCAGAATGAGAAGCAGACACGACCTTCTCCTCCGCTCATCGGAACATTCGTTGGGCGTCCGGAATATTCCCTACTTCGAACCGTGAGACCGACCACATCCACGGGCCCAAGTCTCAGCTCTGCAACCGCGGTCTCGAAGGTCCAACGGTCTACCCAGTCAGCATGCGAAGACCGTCCGGACTGAGGTTGCATTGCGCCGGATTTGCCCATGCCTTTCACACCAACAGTCGCAACATTCTCGGCTTGCTTTTCGCTATATCTTAATTGCTCCACCTTTCAAAGATGTCGCGATTGTTCTCGAGTTGCGTTCGTCATGTTTGACGGGACAGATCTACCTCTTCCCAGTTGTATGGGCGACATTTCTGTGATTGTCGTTCATCCCTAGCTCGCCTTTTTGTCCAGGAAATATGCTTGTAGTGTAAATAATCGTGCGATCTGATGTCCTTCAAAGTCTTTATTTTCACAAGAGAAGTATGAAACTTTTTTCGCTTTTGGAGAGCGACCTCGCCACCTCGACTGTACTACGTGGACCGAGGGACTTGCGCAAAGAGCAAAATGAGAACTAGAGTAGAGGGCAGAAGACTCCACGAAATAAGCCCCTCCGCGTCTAGGATTCATGCATTTGGAAAAAATTGCGCCATTCGAAAAAAATTCAAAGGTTTATTTGCCTCGCGGTCCGTGCGCCAATTCTCCGAGCGCACTTAACTAGGCTAAAATTATCATCACCATAAGAGTATAGAATACTGTCGATCAAACAATCCCGGATCCGAACTAATGAAATTAAATATTAAGTGAAGCTGGGACCCCGAGCTCCAAAAGAGTACACTTCCTGGACTACGAAGTCCACACCGAGCCCGCACAGTAAACCACGTCTCGAGCTGAACTGCGTAGGTTGAAGATCCACGTGGTTCCGGAAGTGCGTCAGGGAGACCTGGAGCGACCGATGTGTCTTGACTGCGGAGTGGACATTGTCACGTCCGCATTGACGTGCGTCGGCTTCGTGAGGCCGCCCTACGGTAGCACTCCTACGGGCCAAGCGAAGTCAATAGATGAGTCTCCATGCAGATTGCGGATACGCTGCGAATGGATCTTGTTGTTGCGAAGGGATGTACATCGGCCGACTGACGGCGGTTCTGTTACCTGTTTGGCGTCTGCCTTGCTGTAATCTAGAGGTGGAAACTCACTGGCTGCGCAAAGAGAATGACATCTCAGATGAACGGTTCATCTGGTTTGGAGGTTCATCATGAACCTCCAAACCTCGTTCGTGATGATCGAAGAAGTTCTGTCTGACATGAGATTCTGATGTATCTCTGAGGGGCTTGCTGCTTTCACGAAACGAACGACTCTGATCCTAGTCTAGTGAGATGGTTTTCTCAGGATCAGTGAGAATCTCTCTTCAGGTCAATACATTCGTGTGAGTGGAAATTTTTCGAGGCTACATGCTGAATATGCGATCTTTTTCCACGATAAGGTGAAAGATTTCACTTTGCTGTGAACACACTGGGGAACGAGATTAGTGTTGGAGTGTATCTAAATACATATTTGGTAATTTTAAACATGATTATATTAACTGTTCTCTTCGCGCATTTACGTAAATTTTGTTCATCTTCAGATGAAAAATACAATTCAAAAATCCAGTATACACACAAATAATTTTTACTTGTATACCGGAATCCTGCATATATGTAAATAAATATCATAAATAACTAATTATGTGTGTAAAATATACTCAACATTAAAAGCTTTAATCCTCTTGGAGTAGAAATAGTAGGATGAATGGATCTGGATACCATGAGTAATAACACGTTGCCATGCTCTTCATTTAAGTGACAAGTGGCAAGTTTAGGCTTCTGAAACGAAGCTTCCGATGAGTGGATGATATGACAGGTGGTGAATCTTTCATGTACAGAATCATAATACAACACAAATAAAGGAGAGTGGGCGGTCAAATTTGAGGTGAGTCCTGTAGTAATCATCAAGAGGTTGTTCAAGCTAAAAGCTATATTTTGAAATAGTACTTCTGCAATATAAAATTGTTTAATACTATCTTGGGCCCACAAAATGCCAGCCGAGCTAGTTGAGTACAAAACAACACATAAGAAGTGAGTAAGTGGTAAATAAGAAAATTCAATCGCTAAGAAGTGAGTTAGTTGTAAATAAGAAAGTTCAATAGCTAAGACACCCCGGGATACCCATTATAGATGATTTCAATCTTTTCACAATTGTCAACGCGAAACCAGTTTAACTTAGTGGTTAACTTATGAATATTCTAGCTAGGTTCATTAGTTTTGGTCAGTCGAGTTAGCTATCATATAATAAAGATTAATTTAGCTATCGGTTGAAACTATTAAGATTGTTCGTTTATTGTGTTTCTGTAAATATAAACTTTTCAGAGGTGAAATATGTATCTTTGGTCGATTGTGTTCTTTCTATTTGCGTCATGTTTGTATCATCATATGTACCTTCACATGTGATGTCAAAAATTACTGAAAGCAAAACGAAAATCATAAATTTGATCTGCTGACTATAATGTTCAAGACAAACAAACATTTAAATACACAAATTATCTCTTATCTATATGTTTTGTGCTTGTACGAACCGCTGGTATGACATTTGTACCTATTTAATTCTGATTACTTATAGATGTTCACCTGATCTACTTGAGGATTTTTACCACAAATTAATTGCTTCTACTTTTAACTTACTTATCGAAAGACATGTAATAATCAATTTAAATATGTGGTTTGGTATTAAATCAAGATGCCTTCTAATAAACAATTACACTCTCTCAATCAAAATTAAAATATTTTAACGTGATGCATCATATGTAGTTTAAGAGACGCTATGCGATAAGAACATCATATAAGTCTTGATCTCAATTGATTTGCAAATGAGAATGCTAGAATCTAAATATAATCAACATAAATAAACTCAAACATTGCTTCTCATACACATAGAGTGTGAGAGGTACAGTTTTGGACCTTAACACTAACAAGAAGTGGCAAAAGGGGCCAGTTGATGTATCATTCAAAGAAGCGAGTGGATTCAAGTGCAAGCTTTTGATTCCTTGCTAAATATGTTCTCTTGTAGTATTGTAGTATGAACAATGTTATTGCGTAACAAGATACCTTGAAATACCTGAATGTAAGTGTGATGTGACTAAATAGTTCTCCACCAAAGGGGTCAAATCATGTTGACGTAGAAAATAAAGATGATGCTTCTCAACTCAAAGCAGAAACTAGGACATACATTGTGCCAAACAACCTGAAAACCTCTCGGTCAAAAGGTTAAAGGCTTGAAATGGCTCGATGCTTTTCTCACACTTAAGTGGCAGCAAGGCAAAAGAAGTTGCTCTTCACTCCATGTCTTCATTCAACTCTATCATATTTAACTCTCTCGTCATTATTTTTATGCCATTCAGACGAGACAATATATTTAAGGAAGATGAAACCTCATCTGTTCTGAATGATTCCGTACGATTTGGATGGGTAAATTTAATGATAATGGAGACTTCAGTCCAGTTGTTGGTTAGCCGTTTCACGACAGTGCGAGGTTTACTTGAGTGAAAAATAAACACTAACTAGTAGAGTAAAATATGATATCATCTTATTAAAAGTTATGTATCTTGTTTCTTGTGAATCACTTTTGATCTCAATATTCTAACGCCAAGGTGTTAATTTAAAATATAGTGCAAACATTGATGGCCGAATGTTCGATTGAGGAAGTTGTAGATAAAAAAAAAGGCCCATATGTTGAGCCTTCTTGTGACCAGTTGCTGTGAAAAACGATGCTATGAACAATGATTAGGTAGATGATCAATGAGAGTGTGAACAAAGTTAAAGAAGTGATTATGTAGAATAATTTTGTTGAACTGATATTCCAACAAGTGTTAGCTAGTAAAAGCTAACATGAGATGAAAATTGACTTTTCACACAAAATGAAGACTTTTGGAACAGCTCAACGAACTTTGACAACAACATTCTAATCACCTAAATCAATATTACAGATTGTAATCTAGAAGCTTCTATGGAAGTAATTGAGAATTCGTGATCTTTAAACCAATACGTCACATAACCCCATTTTTGAATATACTTTAGATCCTCATAAACCAATCTCAGTAGTTCAGTGAAATAATAAAGTTTTAGGTTGTGTTGCAAAAACATCAAAACAAAGGCACATCTAGAACCAATATGTGGTTACGTTGGGTGATTATCAACAACGTAACGTGTCATATTGAGGAAGCGGTTGGGAACTTAATTTAAACAACATCAAAACTCTTTGATCATAACTACTCTACAATATCTTACTATGATAACAACCGATGACATACACAATACATGACGTATGGATTGGCATGAAGAAATAAGATCGTGATGAACTCTCTCATGCATTGTTCTCAATTTTTTTGTATAAAGTCGTCCAAGCCATGTTGATATCATCCTTTAGCTGAATCTACCGCCCAACTTATAATACTCCCTCGTTAACAAGTAGAGTGATCTATCGAACAAAGCCATCCGTGGCTGTTGGTCTACAATTTCAAAGGTTAGATTATTAGGATCAAACTGGTTTGCTTAGATTTTCTACAGCATTAGTTGGGGGATCCAACGAAAAGCCAGGGATGGAGTATACTACAATCACACAATATGAGTAAATTGGATTTGGAGCTACTTCTATGACTAAAAGTGTAGAAAGAAAAGATGATGTACTGGTTTTTCCATGAATGGAGATTTGCGTAAATCAGGTTTGTATTATAAGAGGTCAAATTTAATACCACTGATCACTAAGCACATGATTGTACGTACGATCATATTCCTGTTTTACCAAATGGTAGATCTATAATGTTCACAACAATGACTGATCTTCTCACCCTAGATTGCTGACCAGTATTGTCTATCTAACTTGATTCACATTCTAGACTCCCCTAACTAAGCTCGCATGCTATGATTGGAACCGAAGAATTTCTTTAGAGGTGGAATATTCAGTTGGTACAACAATTACAATTCAAACAACTAGGAAATTTTCCCAATGGGAACAAGAATGAACAATCAGCTTTGGGTTTTCCTTCGCCTACTGCCATGATTTGTATAAATCAAATCAGAGGCTATCCTTCTAAGGTGCATGATAAGTATGTAAGTACATGGAGCGCATCAGCGTGTCGCAATACAAGGAGTCGGTATAATTACGTTCGCCGAATCCAAGCATCAGTCGCAATTTGGTTTGTGATGACAGAAGAGTTTGAAGTAGTAGAAGACGCAGGTGAAAATATATCGACGGGCTCAATATGGGATCGGGCCGCAACAGATCGAGCATGATTCAACACACCGGATTCTGTTGTTCATAGCCAAATGAGGCCAAAACGGAAAATTGATGCCTAATGTTTTTAGCCTATGGCACAGCAGTGCATGATGCTCGAGAGGGTGCCCTGGAAAAGTGCTGAAGAAAGACGAAGGGGATAGAAATCTCATCAATGTCAACCGCAGTACCAACGTCATTGTCCACAGGCGGCGATGTCACCGGAAACAAAGAAGCCAACCCAAGCGGTTCCGGCCGTCGGATGCTTATCCGACCGCCAAAGTTTAACCATCGGGGTACGGAGGAGCTTATCTATCTACTACGTGCATTCGAACGTAGGAAATAAATATTACATCTGACTGTCCGACTATGTTCCCCATGGTTGAACAGTCATCATGTAGAAGCTTCGGCGGACTGGTCCCGAGTCGTCCATCCGACGGTCGCAGGCAAGGCGCAAGTTTTCACGAGATATTCTACCTCGCACTCTCGCCCGACCCAAGCTTGGCGAACAAGGAACGCGATACTCAGCCGCGACGGAGTGGCGCCCACCGTGGTCAGCAGTTGGGTCGAGGATCGTCCACGGGGTCGACACCTGTTCGTGGTCCTCCGAACGAACGGACGGAGACCCACGGTTCCTCCGCGGACGTGGTCCTTGCCTGTTGAGGTGTAAAGGTTGCTGTTCGCTGCGCTCTGGTGCTGGACGTGGTACTGCCCTGTACTGCGTTAGTGGCCTCCCGAGAGCAGCGCAGCAAAGCCGAGCCGAGCAGGGGGAGGCCCAGGGCCAGGGCGTGGAGGTGAGCTGTGCCAGGGAGGGGAGCGACGAAGGAAGCGCTTCTGACGAGAAACGAGGAGAGGGAGGGGCCGACGAGTAAAGAAAGCAACGGGCGACCGCGAGCGCGAGTCAGGACTCCGGGACTCGAGGGAGGGAGGGAGGGACTTGATTGAAGGTCAGAGTCAGGGTTTGGTCCGTTCGTCGACGAGAAGAGGAACAAGGCAAGGGGAGGTGAAGGAAGGAAGGAAGGAAGGAAGGAAGGAAGGAAGGAAGGAAGGAAGGCAGGCAGCATTTTAGGGTTTAAATTTGGCGATCAGTTGCGTAAATTTTTTTTTCGTCCGGGCGTTGGTCTGGTCGGTGGGCGGTGATCGTTCTCGGAGTACAGTTGTCGGGGCAATCGAGCGTGGTAGAGGTGTCCCAGGTCTCCTCCTGAGAGCGGATTTCTCTGACTCACGTTAGCTTTTTGTCATTTGTTTGATTGGGTTCTCGTTCTCCGTTTTGGTGGAGAGCTCGGTATTTTGTCACTTGAAGCCTCGGAGTTCATCTGCTTGATTTGGTACCTGTCGTTGCGGGCTGCGGGGCCGTGGCGGCATTCTGGAAGTTTTGGAGAATTCTGCCGTTCTCCATTTATTCGAGTTTCGGAGTCTCTCAATTGATCTGTAGTTTTGCTCTTGGTTTTTCCAAGCGAAGGGCCTTGTGTCGCGCACACGCACGGTTCGCCTGTCGCGCATTATGGAGGAGATTTGGCACGAAGCTGTGGATTTGACTCCTTCGTCTGGGGAGTAGAGTAAAGGGTTACAGGAAGAGAGGACGTGAGGATCTCTGGCGTTTTAGATTTGCAATTTTGTTAGACTTTTAAGGCAGCGAGGATGGGAGTTCCGGCGTTCTACAGGTGGTTGGCAGACAAGTACCCACTTATTGTAGTTGATTGTATAGAGGAAGAGGTGCAGGTGATAGAAAATGTACGCGTACCAATTGACACTACTAAACCTAACCCTAATGGATTGGAGTACGATAATCTTTACCTCGACATGAATGGGATCATTCATCCGTGCTTTCATCCCGAAGACAGAGTAAGTATTCTCGCTGGTTCCTTGTGTTTCCTGTGGATCCGTTAGTATGCCAGTGGGTGAATTCAGTAGAGAAAGTAGCACTCTTGGTGTTGATGCCTTCTTCCGTGTCTCCGTATTGTACGAGAGTGTTCCCCCATCCTTTAGTCACGAGACCTTTACGAAGATCTATCCATTTTCGCTCAATCCATTCACAATCTTTGGCTGCTCACCATGTTTCGAATTTCACCCGTCCCAGTTCACATATTTTTTTCATGGCCAAACCCGGAAATTGCCCTTAATCTCCTTCTTCGCATGTCTGAATTTCCGTTACTCATCTCAATTGTGCCCAAAATGGGCATCATCAACGTCTCTTCCAGTACCTGACTTTTGTCTGGAATGCTTGTATGTTTTCTCCATCTGATTGGAATTTCTTTTTGAATGTCCTTGAGATGTTTCCTTGTTGCAAGATAGCGAAATATTTTCACTTTCTAGCGTTTCGCGAATTGTTTCCTCTTAGCACATTCCACCGACAGTTAGTTGCCGGCTTCTACATTTTATTTTATGCTGTATCAATATGCTTAATGAGGGAAAGAGGCTTTTCTGGCGAAGCTATCCGAACGGTATCAATTGACGAGTGCTTTTCGAATTATCCAGCCAGCTCCGACAACATTTAGCGAAGTGTACGAGTGCATGTTCGACTACATTGATCGGCTTTTTGCCATCGTTCGTCCAAGAAAAGTGTTGTACATGGCTATAGGTACTCAACTTTCACTGTCTTCTACCTCGTGTAACATTCCATCCCTATTTTGAACTCGAACAGCCACATGTCACGACGGAATGAAATTATGAAAGCCCACCGTATTGTCTTCACATTGTTCCTCTAGTGTTGGAAGTAGAGGAATGATCGAACGAGTGAGCAGTCTCGTTGAATTTCCCATCTATTCAATTTTCTTGCGCATCACCCTTACCGTACTCATATGTCTACCTTCGGGCGGTACTCTTCTTGTATAACCGCGTCTTCCGTAGTACTAGTTTTTATGTATTAGTGCGAGTATAATCATTAGCTGGGTCCATCTTTTGTGAACAGATGGTGTCGCTCCGCGAGCGAAGATGAATCAGCAACGTTCTCGGCGATTCAGGGCTGCCAAAGACGCTCAAGATGCGGTATGTTGTACAAACTGAACTTTCAAAATCCTGTTAGGATGAACTGTTGCGGTTAGGTTCACTTTTATCATTCGTTTTTAATTGCGACTAAAGTCGCAATACGCTTTGTGGTCAAGCTTCCTCCCCTATCTAGATGCGTGTAATGTTTTGCTTCGATCGGGTTTCCATATCTCAAGGATCGTGTTTCCTCCTGATCCCGAGCGTTTTTTTCTTCTCTTGGCTTACTCCAATTCCTCGTATTTATCCTCACCCATTTTATCCCTTGAATGTCTTACCAAATTTTGGCCTTGATACGCATTTGTTCTATTTTCTGTAATGTATGAACTTCGCAGCCGTTGCTGCAGCGTTTGGCTCGTTCTGTGAGGATAATATACTGAATGTTGAGGAGTTTTGACGTTCATGATCGATTTGAACTATACAGGCGGAGGAAGAGGAGAGGTTACGTAAGGAATTTTTAGCTGAGGGGCGAAACATACCTCCGAAAGAAAAGTCTGAGGCTTACGATTCCAATGTCATTACTCCGGGAACCCCATTCATGGGCAGTTTGTCCATCGCTTTACAGTACTATATTCATTTACGGCTGAACCACGATCCAGGTTGGCGCTACATCAAGGTGAGCATATTTTTTGAAAACAGTATCTCAATATTGCTGTAATATCGCTCTGGCATATGCTTCTTACTTGAAACTGTCGTGGTGGCTATCTTCGGATGACTTTTACCAGCAACAGCTGTCCGTTCAAGTTCTTCCTGTTCTTATGGGTTCTTTCCTTGATTCGATCGGTAAGAACTTAGGCTACCTTTCCTGTGTAGGTCATTCTTTCTGATGCGAATGTTCCTGGCGAAGGAGAGCATAAGATTATGTCCTACATTCGGCTTCAACGGAATCTCCCTGGTTTTGATCCAAACACGCGGCACTGTCTTTACGGCCTGGTATATACCTGAAAGTTCTTTCAATAGATTTTCAACATTTTTTCGGATTAGTTTGATCTGCTGTAGGAGGACAGTTTAGATGAATGTATAAGAAGACGGAAAGAGAAAGAGTCGAACGGCAGAATCATAAAACAGAAATCATGGACAGCGAGTCTAGGAAAACTCCTAGGGGTCCAGCGAAACGCATGTGTAAATCTGTTGATTGACATGTTGTTCACTCTTCCAACTTTGCTTATCGTATGTCCGTGTTGCAGGATGCTGACTTGATCATGCTTGCTCTGGCTACCCATGAAGTCCATTTTTCGATTCTGAGAGAGGTAAGTTTCAGAACTCATCAACCTGCTGGTCTGAAGTTGGGAAGTCACTTGGTACTTAATAATATGGACATAGAAGAAGACAAGTTCATGGAATCAAGGACGTAGAAGTACTACTGGATATCAAACTGGGATCATTTCCAATACATGTCGTTAAAAATGAAGGGAAGTATGGAAACCTTAATAACATGTTGAGGTTTTCCATGCTTCCCTGGAACTTGGTTATATAATGGAAGCTGCCCTTAGAAGATCCAACAGGTAAAACTTCCAAATACAGAGATTGGAGATTGTTAAAGAGGCTGCCCAAGTCTTGATTCAGAATGGTAACGGCATTGAGAAGCTCTTTGAACTTTTTGGGATGATGAACCTTCTGCATATGCTGAGGCAGCGCATACAGCAGACTGGAAAAAAGGTGAACAAGTTACACAGGAAGCAAAGGAATTTCTTACCACACATGGGAGATGGTGGAAGAAGTTAAAAGAGGAGGCTCTGGAGAGCTTTGAAGTACAAAGCTAGGCTGATGGCCGAGGGGTATTGACAGAAGCCAGCCTTGATTATCATGAAAACCTCACTCCTAGTGCCCAAGCTCTAATGGAAGTACTGTGCTATTTGCAGGTCGTCTTCATGCCGGGACAGCAAGACAAGTGTTTTCTTTGTGGTCAGGTTGGTCACTTAGCTGCAGATTGCGAAGGCAAACCGAAGAGGAAACGAGGAGAGCATGATGAGAAAGGTGAAGCAGAAATTGTACCAAAAAAGCCCTTCCAGGTAACACATTTGATTCCGGTGGTGCACACGGTGCGCTTGTTTGGCATTGATTGTTGTCAATTCTCATCGAATGCTTCCTCGATAATGCTGGTTTTCAAAAGCTCTTAATTCAGCAATTATGTTTTGAATGCAGTTTTTACACATATGGACACTGCGGGAGTATCTGGAGTTTGACATGTCTATTCCGAATCCTCCTTTCGAAGTGGATTTTGAAAGACTAGTCGATGACTTTGTTTTCATGTGCTTTTTTGTGGGAAATGATTTTCTTCCGCACATGCCAACACTGGAGATCAGAGAGGTACGACCTTTGGCTGACAGTTAAGATGGTCCTGTTTGGCCTTTCATTCTTCAAACGTTCTAATCAGTGTCTTGTTTTCAGATGAATGACGTTTTTGGGTTATAATTGTATCAGGGAGCTATTAATCTTCTTATGCTCGTCTACAAAAGGGAGTTCAAGCAGATGGGTGGCTATCTCACGGAAGACGGAGAGGTAAGCATTGGACTTGTGATTTGCGATTACCTCAGTCATCGAGAAATCGTCTTTCGATGGTGGCATATAATTACGAATGTTTGTGCAGGCATTGATGACAACAGGTCGTTGACAAATAAGAACGTGGGTTTCATGTACATTCAGGTAAACCTGAAGAGAGTTGAGTATTTTATTCAAATCATTGGAGCCCAGGAAGAGACAATCTTTCAAAAGAGAGCTCGTATACACCAGGTACCAACGGTTGCAACAGGGATTCTAATTTTGTATACGTGTAGCTTATAGCCGCGAAATCTAGAATATCCACCTAGATGGTGATGCAAAGGAAGTAGACATTGTTGCAGATTTTTATAGGTCCATGTGCTTTCATCGCACATGGTTGTCTTGTGATGACCCAAGTTGTCTTTCGCTAGTGAGGCAGTGCTTTCGGAAGATTGTGTGACGGTTTAGGCTTGAGTGAAAAAAAAACTGCTGGTATTGATAAGTCTTAGGTTTCTGTTAGTGCACGGTAATCTTATTTTTGAATCAACTGATGAGAGTTGAACAAATATTGGTGTTGTCGACGTTCCCGTGCCCTCCAAATGCTGTTGGAATATCTCAACTGCCCAATTTGGACTTATCTTTTCTTTTTGAATAAGCTGTTATTAGTGAACTTTGTCTAGTATGATGGTCTATTTTGATCTAATGAAAATACTCGAGACCAATCCTCGCCATTCGGCCTTTTGAAAACTGCTTGTAAAACCTTCACATCCCGCTGTGCCAAGGTTCTCACTTAACAGGTAAGCCGTTGTGTTCTCTTGGAACCCTCCTCTGATACGTCAAGAAGCACATATTGTGTTTTGATGACCAGGGGTCATCAAGCGGTAAGCCATACACGTCCCGCCTCTCCCCACTTGCTGTCTCCGGTATTTTTGTGCTTACGTTATTAATATTGATCTCTGTCATTTAACAGCGCCAAGCAGATAGGCGCAGACGTGAGAAAGGTCAGCTGAAGCGTGGAGATGATGCTGAACCCACCGTCCCCCCCGAACAACTTTTTCCGGTAATGCACAACCGTGACTCGCGTAATGCACGCCCTTCTCATGCATCTCCATATCAGCACAGACCATACCAACCTCAAGAACCTGCTGCTGGAAGATACCAGCCCCAAGTGCTGGCTGGCCGTAATCACCAGGCTGCGCAATCGCTGCGTGTCTCCCTTTTGGCTAAGTCTGGCAAAAACTCAACCCGAAATAATGGAGCTGCAAGCCCTGTCCCCGGATTGTCTGTAGTTCCTGACCCGGCAGTGAAGTTGATGCGGGTAGAGGAAGCAGACAGCTCCATAGCTGCAGCAGTGGTCACAAGAGAAGACAGTTTTGCTACGGAAAGTGATATTGAGGGAAAGTCAGCACAGGTAAGAAGTTGCTACGCATACCTCTCACAAAAACTTTAAGTTTCACAGGTTCATAATTTCCACCGGCATACCCTCGTGCAACTTCCTTCCCAGCGAAACCTGCAGATACCAATGGACAAATTCCTGAGGTGTTTGCAAAGTCGAGAAACCTCGCAGCTTTTCTGTTCATGACGTAGTAATCCCACTTTATAGTATAACCATCTCTTGCAGCTCGGGACACCGCAATATCCTTACTACCCGTAATTAGATAACTGCCTGTTACGAACCCCTTAATTATACTCGTGCCACGAGAGCGATCCGAAGTTTTTAAATTTCGGAAGATAATAGGAAATCGACTTGAGGATCTACAGACTGTGTACCGTCTTTCCAAGGCCGGGCTTATATCAATCCCTCGATTTGATTATCAATCAAATCATTTGTTGGTGGTATCAAAGCATGCCGTTCTACGCTTGCTTAGTCCTACTTGATAGTTCAGAATTGCCAGTTTCCAGCTGGCTGGCTTTCAGCGGCTCTGGTACAGTTTCATTAGAGGCTGCGTCTGTGAGCAGAGTAGCTGCCCACGCAATATGGTAGCGCTACCCACAGCGTACACCACAACGTACGATTCCAAATTCCTTTTCTTAATTTTCCTTTTTTTTTTTTTTGGTGGCTTCTGTGAGAGGAAGATTTTATATTTCAGTTGTCAACAATATTTTTTTAACATGTTTCTTGCACTTTTATTATTTCACGCTTTTCGCCTATCGAATTTATCGAGGATACTTGAATTTATCCTGACTGTGACTTGGGTGTGAAGAGTTACCTTCGCCTCAATCTTCATTAACACATCTTTGCTGCTGAAATTTAGAACAACCAGTACATTTTTTGTCTCAGGCCGAAGATCAGCAGGATGAAGCGGATAACGTGGAGGAGCTGAAATTGAAACTTAAGAATGTCTTACGCGAAAAGTCTGATATGACTAGCGGTGGCAAAGAGATTGAAGACGCGGTATGTGGTCCTGACTTTCTATTAACTTTTAATTTTCCATCGCCTGAAAGCGTCGAACTTCTTATCTTTCTTTCCCCGTTTGCGTAGGTGAGGTTGGGCGAACCTGGTTGGAAGGAGAGATATTACGTGGAAAAGTTCGAAACAAGGACCGCCGAAGAAATGGAAGAGATCCGCAGGGACGTGGTAAGTTCTATATATTTATATATGTTTTAAGGTGCAGGTTGGCATGCAGATTACCAGACCACTTCAGACAATGGTCCTCTTCGTTGTTGAAAGGCGTGTTATGGTTTACATGAAGAATCCTGGCTTCTTTTCTGGTCCAGAAATGTCGAGGACTAGTGACTGACATTTTTACTTCATTTTTACTTGCGCCACGTGTGCTGACGGAACGTCACAAAATGAATACCTTTGTTTTTGATGCAGGTGCTTAAATTTACTGAGGGTCTTTGCTGGGTTATGAGATATTACTACCAAGGTGTCTGTTCCTGGAATTGGTACGCAATTACACCGTAGCCCACTGGAAAGAAACATGTCTCTTGAGCTGATATGCACATGCTATAGTTCATTACATCTCGTACCGAACCTTTCCTATTCTAACGCGTGAGTTGTGAATCTCATTTGCTATCCTCGAGCATTCACTTCTCATGTTGTGATACTCACTCGCTTCCTTATATAGAAGCCCGAATAAGAATGTTAAATTATCTTTAAGATGCCTGTCTGGGAATCTATGGAAGTTTCAAGAAACATGGTTGCAGACCTGATATCACTGTGTTACTAATTGCAGGTATTATCCATATCACTACGCTCCTTTTGCATCAGATCTTACGGGTCTGGATGAGTTGGAGATTACCTTTTTTCTTGGACGTCCTTTCAAGCCATTCGACCAGCTGATGGGAGTGTTGCCAGCGGCTAGGTAATGAAGCGCTGAAGTGTATTCTTGACCTTCGTAATATTAGTGTCTGATGCTGAAAGTTGTGCAAAAGCTTGTAGGTTTTGTACTTCTGAAGTTAGAAGGGACCCACAAGAACAGTGCATCTCCGCATTGTTTCAGTGGAGTTGCTGGCTTGCTTTTCGCACTTTAGCGGTCATACTTTTCTGCAGCAATGAAGTATCAACAGGTTATTTGACCCACGCTAGACTACAAGTTGTGTCACAGCAGAGGTATGCTGTAGCACAACTTGACTAGAATGAAATGCCTATCTCTCTCTCTCTCAAAGCTGCGTATTCATATACTGAAGTTTTGCTGGATTATACTTCTGTGTATCAAAAGTGTAATCCAGCAAAACACTAATACGCCTACACTAATGGATTTTTTTGTACATGGTATGTAGTTCGAACGCTCTTCCGAAGATGTACAGACCCTTGATGAGTGATCCTAATTCACCAATCATTGATTTCTATCCCACAGGTGATATTCTGTTGAACCACTTTTATTTGTTAGATCTGGCGTGACTTTCTTTGCTTGAGAAGGAAGAATTGATCTTATGATGCAATTTAAGTAATCTCCTCATTTCTTCTTTCAGATTTTGATGTGGACATGAACGGAAAGCGCTTCTCATGGCAGGTCTGTTGTAATCTTCACTTTCAATGCATTATCAGTAACTTATTAGACGTTGGATCGCTAAACTTATGTGGAAAGTTATACACGAGGCAGGCTCATTATGTTGAGAATTGATTTTCAATTTGCATTTTCCAGGGTGTGGCAAAACTACCTTTCATCGAGGAGGACCGACTTCTTGCTGAAATTAGCAAAGTCGAAGGAACGCTGACTGTAAGAATTAGAACTTCCACCTCGTTGTGATGAAGTAAACATTCGCGACTAGTGTTCGAAAAGATGTTGATATTGTCTTCTTATTAAGTTTGCTGCTATTGCCATATATCTAGAAGCTTAGTTCTGTCACAAGTAGGACCGCTCAGCTCGACCGTTGACGCATGGTTTTCCAGGCTTGACAGGCAAATTCGAATTCAGTTGTTCTTATAGTGAGTGGAGTGCGTTTTCTCAAAATTTCTTCGTCAGTACTAATAATGTCGTTTATGCGGACACCTTCAGCCTGAGGAGAGAAAGCGAAACAGCACTTTGTCAGAGATGCTGTACGTTTCATGCAGCCATAGTCTCGCGCCATACATCTTTTCTTTCTACGATAGATGTGGTCATCTTGTCGGACAGGCACGAGCTGAGGCTAAGGAGGAAATCGACCCTATTGCCAGGTTTTTATTGTCTATCTCTTCTGATTTGTCAAGTTTTCCCGGCTATGCTTACATATGGTCTAAGTTCTGGACTATTTAGTAGAAGAGTTTGCGATACACTAGTGCACTGGCACTAGTGTATTACTGTGAGGTATCTTACTAAAGGAATAATTTCTTTGAATACCAGTGGAGGGATGAACGGATATTTGTACCTGTGCGACGGTGAAGCGTGCCCTGCTATGTTCCGCTCCCCGGTAGAGGGAATGTCAAGTATTACCAACAATCAAGTTCTGTAAGTTTTCTTAATCCCGGTCATGGGCTTAGATCTTTTGAAGGAAATTTTAGGTCCATCTGCTGTGTGTCTAAGACGTTTGTCGAGCAAACTTGTCTGCTAGTGATCTGCTGTAGTTGGTTTGAATATATCTGCGATAACCTGGTAGTAAAGCTCTGAAGTAACCTGAAGTAAATATCTGTGATATGTGCTTCACTGCAGTGAAAAGACAAGGTTGTGTTCCCACACAAGGTCGTGTTCCCACTGTTTTAGCTTTCTCTATGGATTGGAGCCTCTTTAGCCCATTCAGTTCAAAACATATATCCAGGTCGGTCAGTACAATATTTTATGTTGCCCATTGATTGATACTAATGGGAGTAGAATGTCTCAATTTGCAAGTGCCGTGAGAATTACCAACGTTTACCCCGTCATGTATTTCCGGGGATTTTCAGTGTTTGCAGATTTCTGTCCAGATGATGTAGCAACGTAATCCCGACAATTGCTGAGGATAAAACCTCCAATTTTGGAGATTATGGTGCTCATTATGAAGCCTTGCAATGAAATTGACTATATGTAGAGGTAGGGGACAGCTCAAACCTTGCAAGGGTTGATGAGCGCCCTTCACAAAAGCATTCCGTATGATCAGTCTGGGCTATCCTCTCTTGCATCAGTCAAGAATCATTGTCGTCGTATATCGAACTGATCATATACACAACCCTTTTCCTCCTCTCCACATAGGAAACCCGGAGGATGAATCTAGTAGTCGATCTGAAACTAATCTTATGTCTCCACTTTGCAACTAAACCATTCAACCCCAAATGCCTCCGAAGACAATGCCTAGTAAAGCGGAGGACAGTCGATCTGAGCACAGGATGAACTAAAGGAGTTTGGTTCCTGTGTTTTTGAGCCACAGACAATGTAAGTCGTGTAGTCTCAGATCGTATCTTGCCTAACTCATTCAATGCCTGCAGATCTGTTATTTATAAACTTCCCCCGCATCACAGACATATCGCGAAGCCACCAGAAGGGGTGGTCATGCCAAAGAAGGTAACTTACATTTGTCAAATATTACAAGAATCGCATTCTAGCGTATCTCTTTTAGAAGTTATATTCACAGTACGAATTAGTTCGGAAACTTGTTCGAAAAGTGTACAGCGTTTCGGTTTTGTATTTATAGTCTGTCGACAAATCACACATCTCCGTCGTTCTTCGTCTCTCTTTTGTCTCTGCTGATTAGGCTATTGTCACAGTTCTGCTTCCCGTATCTTGATCGAGTATGAGTTTGTGCAGGAGGTGACGGAACAGGATGTGAAAACACAGCCTTTGTGGCATGAAGACAACGGTCGGAGACAGCAAATTCAAGACAGGTATGTTTGCCTTTGGGCCACTTTTGTCGATGTTCTTATATGTATAAAGCTTTGGGAACATAGTTTGCATGTCGACAGTTGCAAATGCTGGATCTGTCAATCTCATACCCTCTTTTATGTTCATATAGGCCACCAGTCGCAGGTGCTCTGGCGGGTCAGGTTTTGGGAGAGGCTGCTCGAAGACTCCTTGTGAACAGCCTGCCAAACAGGCACAACAGCTCAGGGGGTGCGATGCAAATGCTTCAGCGTCAAGCCCAGCAAGCATCTGGTTCAGGAGGTATATTAGGTGCTCCAGCTCCTTATCAACATCCATCAGCCCAGGGTATACCTCCAGGGGGCAGGCCTCGTCCGGCTGGGCCTCCTGGATATGAGCAAGGGTTCGGTCCACCAAGTCCCCCATACGGGGGAGTTTATGGAGCAGGCCAGACCTACGCACAGGCCGCCTACCCCAGTGCTCCACAACATCAGTACCCAGTGCCAGGTGGGTATGCTCCACCCAGCAATGGAGGTAGCTATTATCCACCAACTTCACGTCAATCCCATCAGCTACACCAGTCGCATCAGCCTCATCATACAGTTCCAAGAGCTCCACCTGCTGTGGGTGGACCAGGGTTTATGGGCAGGGGTGGTCCATATCAACAGCCTCCGCCACATCATTCCCAACAATCCGGGCCGCAGGCACCGAATGCTTGGAATGGAGGGAGAGGAGCAAGTGGGACACAAAATTTTTCTCGTGTGCAGCAGCAAGTAGTCACAACTAATAGTTTCACAGCATTGCAGGGGAGGGGAAGAGGCGGAAGACAGCAGAACAACAACAATCGGTACTAAGTCTTTAGAACAGTGTCTCAAGTTCAGATGTCCTGTGGCCAATGACACCCCAGCTCTTGATCATGTTCATTGTAGCTCTTGTGTGGCACTCGGTTATTAGAATCATTGACAAGGTTCAAAGCATGGAGGGAAGCCATAGGACGAGAGGTGCTGCGGTAGTCCTTGTAGCACTCTCTTTGCTCCTGCCTGTTATCATCTGTAACATATGGTCGCATTCCGTAGCCACATTCTCATCTTGGAAGCCCCGCGAGGAGTAACAATGAAATTGTAAATGTATTTGCAAGATACCCTTCGTGAAGGGCTGCTTCTGGATTTCTCCTCTTTTTTGTAAAGAGAAATCCGAATGAATGGTATAAGCGGATGGCAGCAGGTCAAGCCAATCTGCATATAATTCCTTGGCAACTTTTCTGTGTGTGACAGAGTTCATGTCGAATGACGGAGTTCTGCTGTATTCGAATACCGGATGGCGGTACCGTCGGTTTTCCTGAAATAGCTGCTTCATTGCTCTCTACATGCTGTAGTTTTCGTCGGACATCGCATCGATACACTGATATTCGTGTGGGACTGCAATACAATAAAATCCTTGCTGACCGGAAGTTCTGAACAGGATATTCGCATCCTACACGATCTCCAGCCCCGCCTCGCATCGGTCGCTTCGGATTCCACCCTGCGATGATGTCCTGGTCGACGGAAGAAAGATGTTCACGAGATGTGGAAGGCTCTCTTTGCGTATCCCCGTGGACCCAAGAGCTCAAAAGATCAGAAACCCTAAACCCCCCATATCCCTGCCCGCCCCTGGACTTCAACACTTTTCAGTCTACTTCTCCATCTTCTCGGACCACGCTAGCCGGTAAGGTGACCGGCTGAATATCAATATGCACTCGAACAGGGAAGCAATACCTGTATCTGATCTGGAATACGTATGCCTCATTCGTAATTCGTATAATCGCTATCATGGCGATTTTGACTGAAACCAACAAACTCGGACATGGGTCGTAACATCAAAGACATTCTCCTTTACTCAACTCACCTGTAACGCGGGGTAGAGCACAGTATTCACAGGGTACATTTCAATATCATGTAGATATTTTAAGAGTTTTTGCAATCTTGATTTAGCTAACACAATATGAACCAAACGAAATTACGGATTAATAATGAACAGTTTGATGTATGAAGCAATCCTAGTTAAGTCAGGCAAGCATGACCCTCTGACTATTAGATGACTGTTGTATTACACTAATATATAACAATAGTTAAAACTCCTGAGTTAATAATATACAAAGAGCAATGAACTTTCTATAACAAGAACATGTAAAACTAAGAATAGTATGTATGATGATAATTTTTTATAATGTAATTATAATAGATAACTTGTATTTATTTTAGATGGGTGGAAGATTAAATCTTGAATGTATGTAACGTAAGTGTACATTAATCTATACACAGTCAAACATGTACATATAATTAGGATTTTAGTATGTGAATAATAATATTCCTGTTATGAACGAATTTAGTTGTGGTTTTGATGAACAAATTGGAAAAAATACATGAATAACAAGACTAGAATAGAGAAGATATTCGGAAATTGGAATAAAAATCATCAAAGTTTCAAAATACAATTTTTCATTCAATGATAAATTAGTATATTACATAAATCAACTTGACAATACCCTTAAATTAAGCTCATTCATATTTGATAATTTACAACTTTAAACTTATTTCCAATAAAAATGTTGGGTTTTAGAAAATTAGTTGGTTTAAATTGAAATATAACATACTCAATATGATTATAAATTGATTTAATATATAAATACTCTATACTTGCTATGGCTAAATAGTAAGAAAAATCAATCTAGTATTTTTGGTTGTTAATAATATTTTAATTAAAAGAAGCTAAAACTGGAAACAGAAATTATTTTAGTTGGAAGTACAACCTAGCAAATAGAAAGAGTTTAGCGAATCATACTTGTGAATTAATGCTTGAAGTCAACAAGAAATCAAGAAGTGTAGTTTTGGATTCACAATTGAAAAATATAGCAATGTGAGAAAATATCCAACTTGTTGATACAACATCTTCTAAATAAAACACTTGATGATCCGTCCTATACAAAGATTGAGACATATCATCGTCAAAAAGTACACATATCATCTTCTCATTACAACACAAAGAAAGTAAAATTTTTCTTATTTAAAAGAAGTAGGATTGTTTATCATGTCATGACAATGATTTTATATGTTTGTTTAGTTTTGTGATAAAGGAAAAAAAATATTAGATACAATTAGATGGAAAGTACATCCAGAATTTTAGTATACAATGCTTTAGGCAAAATGCGCGCAAGACAAGACTTCCTAATTGATTGTGAAAGTTAGTATATTGATGGTATAAATATTCACACTTCATTTGCAATTTTTCTAACTAAATGATTTTACTAGGAAGGAAACAAAAGAACTAATGAACAAATTGTTTTGATGTTTTTAAATATGAAACACATTAATATTTAAAAAAAATTCAATCTGCAATTTATACAACTTTGCATTGTAGATTCATTGATGATGAAAAGATAGTTTGTTAGTTGATGATACATCTTTGCGCAACAAGTAAAAAAAGATTGTGGTCGAATCAAGAAGTTGTGATAAATAAATATATAATATATTTCACACTTACTATGACCCAAACATAATACTATGACTAAAAAATCAGTTGTCTACAATGAACATCAACCTTATGTTTTAGTTGATTCAAAACAATACTCAATTTTTCCTTGGCTTGATGTAGTTCTTTGTGAATATCACCCATAATAGTGCTGATTATGGTTATTTTATTAAAAAATTTCTATACTTTAAGAAGCATTATCAAACTTGATGGAATTTGATGACACTTCAGATTATGAGATCAACACTCTACATGAGGTAAAATGAAGACATTGATTGTTTTGTGAAGGCATTGATAAAATTATTAAATGCCAATTTGACAAAAGTTAAAAAGTATTACACTCTTGTGTTTTTCAAATGTAAAGACATGTAACATATCATCTATTGTTCTATTGAGATTCTTCATTTGATCATCGATTGAAATACAATATGTTATTGTCATTTCTAATAGTATTTTGAAAAAGCTAGAAACAAATTTAATTTTTTTTATTCAAACGAGTATCTCTATCAATGATTATGAATTTGTTTAGTCCATGGTTCATAGAAATTAGATCTAGATATAATTGAACAAGTTGTGAAGCTATCACTATTTTTTTTTAGTTTGATTGATGTGAACCATCTTGCTCAATTTATCAACAAAATCCACAATGTAATCATTTTGAACAAAAGTTTTTATTGTTCATACACAAGACTCATGATGTTACCATTGTTCTGAAATGAGTTTATCATAAATTGGTTGATTTTTTATGACTTGACTTGTTTTCTTGACAAGTATACAACGTTGAACATAAGTTTTCACATATCTTGTATTTTATCATTATGACACTTGTTGTATGATCTTCAAGGTTTTTTTGGTTACCATGTGGCTTGCAATGATTATATCATGATTTTTTTATAAAATCATTTGCAAAAATTTTTATCTTGCAAAATCCATATACAGTGTTTATGAAATACAAATTTTTGAGTTTTTTATCTTTTGTGTTTGATGTATTATCATGATTTTTTCATATTACTTTGTGACATGTGTCACCTTAGTCTACCAATTAGCTTGAATCTTCATTTTTGCAAGATGAATATGTAATATTATGCGACAACATTGCAAGTTGATTGTTGCTCTCCACATACACAATTTTTGTGTTTAAGCGTTGATGATATTAAACTCATCAAATTTGTTGTTTGGATACATATTTTTGAGTTTTAAAAGAAATTAATAATTTATGATGAATTTACATTGTAAATTTATTATTATTCAAATAATGCTTAGATTTTTTTTTGGAATACAATTATTAATATTTCTTGTTTAAATGTGTAATATTTTTGTTTAGTTGCTATCAAGTTTTGAGAAAAAAAAGCAATTGGATAATATTTATTCATCTACATTGTTGAAATATGTCATTTATTCTTTTTCAAGGGAATAGTACTGAATTTCACTTGGATTTGCTTCAAAAAACTTTTGATAACAGATGCTAGAGAACAAAAATTCATCTATATGTTTATGTTCCAAACACTTTCTCACACAATAGCTCTACACTTTATAGTGATCCAATTAATCATTGAAATTTTAAGATAGAAATGTAAATCAATTGTTCATTTATAAAACAGTTTTCACATAATGAAATTTCATTTTTTGCTTGATAATCTAATTTTCAAATTTTTATTTATACTACTTGAAATATTATCATAACAATACATGGTAATTAATACACAATTTTCTTTTACTAAAATAAAATTTGATAGTTTTGAGTTGATTTCATTTTGTGATGACATGATATTATCTTAGTTAAAAATTCTACAAGCTTTCTTGTCTATAGATTGAGATGACAATTGAAAGACCCCCTCATTCAGATCGACCAGCACACACGACAGTCACAACACCAAGATAACGTGGTTCACCTTTCATAGGCTACGTCCACGGGCTATAGCAGAACTTCACTAAAGTACGGATGATTACACAGCCTCCATAGCCAAACGCTACTCCAACCTGTTCACTCTCTCGATGCTATCCTGAATTGTACGCAGAGAGAGTCACATTCTCTCTTCTATACGAAAAGAGATAAGGTGCACATAATACTTAATCTAACCTAACCTAACCACACTTAACTTTTTAATCATGGTTACCAGTAACTGGAGTTAATCCAAGATAGAGTTAACCTAACAAACTCCCCCTTGAGTCAAGTTTTGGAGAGTTAACTAATGTAATCCACATGTAGCTCTGCGAGAAGTTCTAGAAAGTAAAGCTAAATCACGCTTTCCCTCTATAGCCGAGCTAAGCCGTAGCCGGCAAAAAACCGGATGGACAATATATGTACAAAAGTTACTAGACTAACTATCCCTATGCAAAATTTCCAACTTTGCACAATGCTTGGAAAAAATCTCCAAAAGAATTACTTTGGTCATTGCGTCCGTAGTGTTGAGCTTACCATCAATTTTGATGAGCTTAAGTGCAATATCAGACATTGCTTGTCTAATATAATGATATCGAATATCAATGTGCTTTACCTTACCATCCATCACATTGTTCGATGCTAGATGAAGTGCGCTCTTGCTGTCACAATAAAGACTCACATCACTGTGTGGCAGCCCCATCTTAGTGGCCAACTTGTTCAACCAAATTGCCTCCTTCGCTACTTCTGCTGCTGCAACGTATTCAGCTTCTGTGGACGACTGAAAAATGCATTTTTGAAGCGTAGATCTCCAACTTATGCATCCACCAGCAAGAGTAAAAACATATCTAGTTGTTGATCTCCGCCTATCCAAATCTCCTTCATAATCAGCATCAACATACCCAAGAGCGAACTTGCATTGTTTGAACGAGCATCAAACAATAATCATGTATCAAGTGAACCCTTGATATACCTCATAATCCACTTTACAGCTTCCCAATGCTCTCGTCCAGGATTTGACATGTACCTACTCACTTTCCCAACTGCATATGCTATATCAGGTCTAGTGCGTACCATAAGATACATAATACTGACAACTGCACTTTCATAAGAAATAGAAGACATCAATACTTTAGTAGTTGCATCAGTTGGACATAAAGCTGCCGAAAGCTTAAAGTTTGCAGCTAATGAAGTACTTATAGCTTTAGCATTTGACATGTTAAACCTAGCAAGTACTTTCTTTGCATACCGTGTGTGTGTCAACCAAAGTTTGCTTGATGACTCATCCCTGTGGATTCCCATGCCTAGTATACGCTTAGCAAGACCTAAGTCTTTCATATTAAACTCAGAACTTAACTGGACTTTGAGTTTAATAATCTCAGACCTATCCTTAGCGGCAATAAGCATATCATCTACATACAACACGAGTAATATCAAGCCAAAACTTGTGTTACTAACATGCTTCATGTACACACAAGGGTCATATGCACTTCATATGAAACCTTGCGTATGCATGAACTCATCAAAACGTTTGTTCCATTCTCGGGGACTTTGCTTAAGTCCATACAAGGATTTTAGCAACCGACAAATCAAACGTTCCTTTCTTTTCTTCAAAAAACCCTCCGGTTGTCTCATGTAAATC